AGATCACAGAGAGTGATAATCGTTAACTGAATATCTATTGAATATGATAAATATTGGAGAAGTAAATGAGCAAAATAATGCCCAAAATCTGGGAGAATCAAAATATTTAACACTGCTGGTGAATGGTGGCATATTTAGGTTTGGATTACGAACAAAAATAAACAGAATTCAAAAGCCCACAACCCCCATTCCCAACCCCCCTGAATTTTGATCTAATATTATTGTGTATAAGTTAAGCAAATTATAAAGTTATTTCATCATGATAATTTAAGGATGATATTATTGATGAGACAATTTTCATAATATAGATAAGCATTAATAATTCATCCCATCAACGATATTTCCGATTATCGATCTTAACCAGCCCTACACACAGGTATATCTTAAGGAAAGTAGTTTCTGATTAGTGCATACACAACTGCTAACATCACCAATACTCCCATATCTATCACAAAATGCTAATCTCAACATCTAAATGTACAGGGAAACCAACAGATAAAACAAAACACGGAATACTTCATACGTGATACAGTCTGCCAACTAAAAACAGAAACATAAAAGAAAAACAAGAAATGGTCAAGAAACTAAAACTGTGTAAAAGAGCAGGAAAATACTGACCGTGCCGAAACAGATTGGCCGACAGAATAGGACAGGGTATATACAATATGGCGGGTCGAGGTGCGGACATGGTACAGACACAGAATTGAGCGCACCATCAGCGGAAAGTGACAAGGATCGCCATTGGTTGTGTTCTCGATGTCACGGACATGTCAGCCATCAGGTCAAACTGAGTTCCCACTCCAAGCCACTTATCCTTTTCTAGAATCTACATACTTAGACATTGGAAATAGCACCATATAAATGTACTATCATTATTTATAATTATTATTATAATTACTTATTATTATACATTTTCAGATTTTCAGCCACAGTGCAATACAAAGCATAATAAGAAACCTTGAAAAGAATTTAGGAACACTTGTACTTTCATGTGTTCCCTTATTTGTTTCCAAGAGTATATATACTAATCAAGAGAATTACAGAACATCATGTCTTATGACAGAATAGTGGTATGTAAAAAATGGATGATCTCTAACTGTATATATACAGTAAGTCCCCTTTTACATAAATTTTGAATATTTACGCACTGTATACCTTATGTTTCTCCATCAGTTATGAATGGACTCAGTCAATATATGATGTAGAAGTAGGTGTGTCTATTTTCAGTCAGCCAATGACATGAGACATCTGTATACATCCTGAGAGTGTATGTAAGCTGAATGCTCATTGGTTATATACTCTCCACTGGATCCAGGCATTTGATACACATTGAAGATCTTCATACCCGGTGTGACGAACGAGTACTTTAACCTCTAGGCTACCCTCACGCCCCCTATGCCACATTAGGTGACAAGACCGCCTCCGTTGTGTAGTGGTTAGAGCGTCCGCCCGGAGTGCGGAAGGTCGCTGGGTTCGATCCCTGACAGCGTCATACCAAAAGACGTTAAAATATGGTACTTGTTGGTCCCTGCCTGGCGCTCGGCATTAATGGGTACAACAAGGACTGGTCGGCTCGGAGTCAGTATAATGTGTCTGAGTGGGGTATTCATGCTTCACTGTGGCATGGTATCTCAGTGGGCTAGCACTATAAAACCAGCTTACGTCTGGACTAGTACAAGCAGCCACATACACACGCATGCACGCGTCATATGAGTGAAATATTCTCAAGCACGACGTTGAACCCAATTCCATCACCACCATTAGGTGACATAGCAACGACAGTAATGTTAAGCATTGATAAAATGTTTGCACTATGGCTGGTTTTAATCCTGGATGCCAATTCCATTTTATAATCACAAGAAAAAGGAGACTCTAAAATAAGAAATGGCTACTGTCCAATTCATTGTCTCGTGATCCAGATGTATACATACTGAGAGTAATGTATGTTACTGTGATCTCCCAATGGGAAGACGTCAACATTTCTTGATAACAGTCTGCTTACTGACTAACAATTGGATTCCAGCGGTATCAGAAGTACCGCCAGAGCGTCCTGTGACATGTGGCAACAACAGTCTGAATCGCGGGGGTCTCGCAAACCGGAACATGGACAATCATTAGCACCTCAGTGTCAGCATCAACATATCCCACTCAAAGAGATAATTAGATGGAAGAAAAGTATTTAAAAAACAAACAAAACAAAAGTAAGTAAGCCATTATGAAACATCAACACTTCTATAGCCAGAGTGACAACTGCCATCCAAGTCATCCATGTTGTGATCAGTTAGTGCTGAATGACTGGAAGCCGAGTGATAGGATTTGCAACACAGCAGTTATTCCCCTTTGATGATATGCACTCAAGCACTAAAAACATCTTTTGCAACATTAAATCTGTTAAAATAATAACAAAATTACAACATTAAAGCATTTCACCAATATAGGGATTTCACAACTTTTGTTTTTGAGCAATCAGTCACTTTCAGTGACAAAAATTTGATCATTTGATCTAAACTACGAATCTCGTACATAATATCACTGTAAAGCAAGAAGCACAAGTAACTAACAACCCAATGACTACATTGTATGAGCAACGGAAATACACAGCCATGTATATTGCTGGAGACTGCATAATAATTGGTTATATATTGAGGTGATGTGTAGACATGAGAGAAATGTACAAGGTAATCACAGTCAGTATGAAGCGATAGACCACACAAGGGAGGTCAAAGCTGGAAACCTACCAATTACATTAAAATCAGATCATTAACCCTGATATGTCTCTGTCTCTCTGTGTGAAGATCTGTCAACACAGGCGGGTGGGCGGGCGGGCAGGGCAGGGGGCAGGGCAGGGCAGGGCAGGGCAGGGCAGGGCAGGGCCAGTAAATGATGGATGAGCAGGTTAATTCTCGAAAATAAATGATGGATGAGCATTATTCTCTGCACTAAGCAAATATCTTGCTTCATTTCAATACCCTTGATTGAGAAATTGAAATCTCAGATACATGAAAAGACAGAACACAAATGTCTCACAACAACTCATTCATATGGATCCATATGCAACAGTGCTCACAAACAAGATTAATAAAATATCCAAGGACGGGCATGCATCCCGAGGCGGGATAGGTCGGCCGAAACGCCTGACGATGAAGGCAACCTTCATTAACATTAACCATCAAGTCAAGTTTTTTTCATTTTAACCCCCCAACTGCATTTGTTCTAGAGACGCAGAAAAAGATCCCACCTTTGCATGGAGACTTTAGACACAATGCTGATTGGCTTATCATAATTCTGATCCTGATCATAATTCTGATCCTGATCATAATTCTGATCCTGATCATCATTCTGATACTGATCATGATTCTGATCCCGATCATGATTCTGATCCCGATCATTATTCTGATCCCGATCATGATTCTGATACTGATCATGATTCTGATACTGATCCGATCATAATTCTGATACTGATCATGATTCTGATCCTGATCATGATTCTGATCCCGATCATTATTCTGATCCCGATCATTATTCTGATCCTGATCATGATTCTGATCCCGATCATAATTCTGATACTGATCATAATTCTGATACTGATCATGATTCTGATCCCGATCATGATTCTGATCCCGATCATTATTCTGATCCCGATCATTATTCTGATTTTGCACACTTACTTATCCTGCACCCTTACTATGGAGGTGTTCTCAGATCTTCACCACAGATGAACAGTATCACAGAAAAATACCTGATTTTAACGGACTGGAAATCTACAACACTATCTACAAGTGAGTATTTCATTTAGTCTTTGCTTTAACAAACTGAGTAGATACCATTTGTTACCAAGGAACCTGACCTTCATCGATCGTCCAGCGTGCAGCAACTCCATTTGTACATACCATCGAACCTTTCACACAAATTCCTGTTCTATGAGACTGATTCAAACATGCAATAGTAAAAGAGCCATTCTGTCAAAAATGTGAACATCTGTGAGATAAGAGATGAGGATGACATAACTTCAAAACAAAGTTGGTCCATAATATTTTTCAATATATTTGACACATCATCGTATCCCAATTGCGTAGATCGATGCTCATGCTGTTGATCACTGGTTTGTCTGGTCCAGACTCGATTATCTACAGATCGCCGCCATATAGCTGGAAAATTGCTGAGTGCGGCAAAAACAACAATCAAACCGACCACCTAGCAACCCTCCAACTCGTTGCATGACTCCCGAGGGACTGTTTATTACGGTCAAATATATTTGACACATCATCGTATCCCAATTGCGAAGATCGATGCTCATGCTGTTGATCACTGGTTTGTCTGGTCCAGACTCGATTATCTACAGATCGCCGCCATATAGCTGGAAAATTGCTGAGTGCGGCAAAAACAACAACCAAACCGACCACCTAGCAACCCTCCAACTCGTTGCATGACTCCCCGAGGGACTGTTTATTACGGTCAAGTATAAGCCCAAAGCTCTAGCGCCATCCATAGTCATGACTGGTTGATTCCGCAGGTGAGTTACTACTGACATTTGCTTTAGACTTAGGGCTGAATATCAGACTCTGAAATGGTCCAGGTAAATCCCTGTAACTGAATGGCAATGTTGCACCCTGGATTAGCGAGGATGGGTTGTCAGGTATCAATACCATTGTATCAGCATGGAATTAATTCAAAAAGGAAGATTGCATTGAATCCGTTCTGAAACTGTTTTACAATGATTCAACAAAGAACACACAGTCTCAACGACTAAAACATCTAATACTAAATTCATGTAAATGTCACCCTGCTGTTGAACTACAAAGGACACCAATATGAACTACAGAGGACACCAATATGAATCTATAAAGGATATCCCTATGAATCTATAAAGGATATCACTATGAATCTATAAAGGATATCACTATGAACCTATAAAGGATATCCAGGAAATAAATATAAACAATGTCAAAGACTATACATGTTAGCGTAGGTAAGGCACACTAAGTATATCAAGCTCAGAATATGTTACACAACCAAAGGATGCCAATATTTACGAGAATATGAACAGCAACTCAACTGGTCACTAACCACAGTGTCTGTATATTACAGGTTCATTAAATGAACAATGAAAATGTCACGTAAATGAATTCACTGGATTCTGAATTAACACCAGAAATTCCACAACCATTAATTGATTCCGATTTGAGCTCAACTTGAGCTTGTGGAGCCACAAGTACCATGTGACCTTGGCATTTTGAACTTTGCAATATCACCTTGACCTTTCTTCACGTGACCTATTTTCCAATGCAACATACAGGCTTTCAATGTGACCTTGACTTTATCCGACTTGCTGAAATTAGTGCATTTTCGTTTTGTCTTTTAAGGATATTTTCATAAAACGTTGTTTGGTCTTGTCTTCTTCAGTGCCTGGAAATATTCACATGATAGCAAATATCAGATGGTTGTTGATGACCAGGTGAGCTAATACATACAGTATCAGGTGAACTAATAAAAGTACTTGATTTCAAACCAAGTGCCTGTTGCATCTAAATTGGAAAAACAATCATTAATTGGTTCAAAATTGGGATTTTTTCAAACAATTCTTAAATTCTAAAATTCAGAGGTATTTTAACATTGTGGATGGAGAGTTTATTCAATGCAATATTGGATAATGTAACACTAAGCTTGAAACCTCTTCCTATTCAATGGTCCAATCATCTGATATTAACAGAATTTGGAAATCTGTAATTTGTCACTGTCATTAAATTTAGACCAAATTGTCTCATGACAAACTGAGATAATATCTTGTAGGTAAATCAGTCACAGGTATTTAAGACACAGGAGACAGAAACTCTGTATGTTGCGTTGCCAGGGAAACCACATGGACACCACAAACACTGGGCCCTGCTGCACAAAGCTATCTTAATGCTAAGGCGATCACAACTTCTATACTTCAGCATAGGCTTCAGATAGTTCTAGTAATAAGATGGCTTTGTGGAATTGGGCCCAGGGTGCTGCTATTCAAAACAACCTCAGCGCTAAGGTTGTCGCAAGTCTATGTTAAGGTACAGGAATTCTGATCACCTTAGCGTTAGGATGGCTTTGTACAACAACACCCTTGCCTTGCAATTGTTGAGTCTCCGACATTGACATTACTCCAGAATTAACAAGACTTAATCAACAACAATTTGAGCACCATTAACACATAAGATTGCTTAAGAGTTGTGAATAACACAGAGGAATGATCAGAGATCACTACAGAGGGATTAGTCCCTCTCTTGTTGGGGGGTAGTCCCTCCCCTGGGCGCCCCTGCCCTAGGGGTGGGGCTGTCCGGCTGAATGCTTCACATTAGGAGCTGCTGAGCAGAAAGGATGAAGAAGTATATATAAGACTTGCTGTCTGAAGATTCTTGGGATCACTTCTGTCCAATGAGTCCAGATTCTGAAAATGAAAATCAGCGGAATTGGAAAACATATCACCGATGATAAGCTCCTGGAGGAAGTGAGTGAGTGAGTGAGTGAGTTTAGCTTTACGCCGCACTCAGCAATATCCCAGCTATATGGCGGCAGTCTGTAAATAATCGAGTCTGGACCAGACAATCCAGTGATCAACAGCATAAGCATCGCTCTGCGCAATTGGGAACCGATGACATGTGTCAATCAAGTCAGCGAAACTGACCACCCGATCCCGTTAGTCGCTTTTACGACAAGCATAGTCGCCTTTTATGGCAAGCACATGGGTTGCTGAAGACCTATTCTACCCCGGATCTTCACGGGTCTCCTGGAGGAAGTAGTTGCATGAGAGGTGAATAGTATCTAACACAAACTGAGCACATACTGCAGGAGCAACGTGTCAGTGACGTGAACTAAATCAGGGTTTGTACAGATTTTTAGCGATCAAATGTAACGCAATTTTAGTGGCCTTTTACAGCCCAATCAACAAGGTTAAGGTGAGTGAATCTATTGTTATGCCGCACTCAGCAATATTCCAGTTATATGATATTGCAGAGTGGGACATTAAACACCAACCAACAACCCAACCAATCACGCACAGACAAGTGATAGTTGTACTCACTGACAAGCCTTGCTCTGCGTTGTTCTGCCTGCATGGCCCACTCCGGCTGCTTGCTGTCTGGGCTAGCCTTCGCATCTCCTGCACAACACATGTAGATTCTTGTTAGGATTTACGGGGTTTTACACAACACAAATGTGCGTCCAGTACGCACAAATGTAGAGAATGGACGCAGATAAAAACTCCACTGCATCCAGAGGTATGATAATATCATTCACTGTACCCACAACACGTCTATGATTTTGCTTAGAGTTTGGTTGTTTCTTTCAGAGCAGTTACGTCTAAGATCACCTGATAGTTCCTGTAGGAGGATAACAATTATAGATCCATATGAAGTAGAACAGGAGAGTGAGACTGCCTGTCTCTGGCCAAGTGCATGGCTGTGTGTCTGACTAGCCTTGAGTGATTGAGTGAGTGATTGAGTGAGTGATTGAGTGATTGTGCCTGCCAGTTTAACCTAGTGGTTGTATGTCTGACTGAGTTGTCTTTTGCCTGTTAGAGTGCATGTGATTGTGAGACATAATGTCGAGGCAAAGCGAAATGTAATGTACATTTTTGTTGCAGACTACATTGCTAACATGAATTAGGGAAGCCCCACAGTCTTAGATGACAGGTCAAAAGCAAACATTGTTAGGGACCGTTCATAATTTATGGCAAGGGGGGGTGATGATGATCTTTATGGAGAAGCATGTACAATGTGAATGACCCCACCCCTAAAATTTATGTACAAAGTAAGTGGCCCCCCTGCATGTCATGTAAAAAATCAATGACCCCCCCTTCCCCTTCCAATATTTTTTAAGCATAATTTTTAAATATTTTTATATACAAATATTTTTCATATTTGCAAGATACAATTCTCGCATTTTCCTGTGCTGACAGTGACACATATTGACAGTAAATATATACAGTGCTGCAGCCAGGGATTTGCTTGGAAGGGGCCAGTTAGCCCCTACCTTTAGAAAATGTGGGCCAATAACCAAAAGTGACAAATCTGTAATCCTTCTCTCTGACATTCCGACAGCCAAAAAGATTCGATGATAAACTCTGTACATCAAGTTGAGCTGCGTACAGCAAAACAAGCTCCTTACAGCGATTCATATTACAGTTTTGTATACAAATAGACGTACTAGCAATGTGCAGATCTTAGGAAGCATTGTTTTGAATTCCGGAAGTTTCAAAATTTTGATTTTGTTTTCGAATGTTTGACATTGCTTTCAATGAAAATAGTCGTATTTTGAAATTAATTATGCGCCCGATATATAAAAATGTGTTATAAATAATAAATTTGTGCCATTGTTGGTGCAGACATTTATAAATAAAGCGCCAAGGTAAGTACAATTAGAGACAATCACGCAATTACACAGTCTGGCTGCAGCACTGTATATGGTAATTACCCACAGGATACAATTTCATTATTTTTCACTACCAGCACTTGGTGCAACCAAATGGAATAATCAGTTTGCACCATCAATATATTGGGTGCACCATCAAAATATTAGTTGCACCATGATATCAACAATTGTACCGTTGTCACTGACGACAGACTATTCCTTATCACCACAGTGAAAGAAACATTTATGTCTCCAGAACTGCTCACAGTACCATGTCTAGAGGATTTTGTGGACAGATGGTTGCTATTTAACCGGCACTACTGACCGGTGAGCGGGAACAGTGAAATGTCTGACCTGCAGGTGATGCCACGGACCTCCTCTTCTTCTGTGACAGCTGAGACCGCCAGTTAGCCGCCACATCTTGTGTGTCAGACTTTGTCGGAGTGCTCTACAACAAACAACGCCATGTCAAGACATTTGTCTTGTTGCATCAAACTAACAAAGCAGACAACTTTAATGATAACAACCTCTTGCTTATTGCTTATTTCAATTCGTTGTGTAGATTCTAACACTGTTATCAAGCTAAAAGTGAAACATCGCTCTGTGAAATAACAAGAAGTTGTCATCCATCAATGCATCAAACCAGTTCCAAACTTCAGGTGATGAACACTTATGGAAAATTATACAGTCAGGCCGCGTTAGTCCGGACTACGATAATCAGATTTCCGCGATATCCGAATGGTAGCTAGCTGTAACCACTGTAATTGGCGATTTCTTTAAACCCGAGTGAGTTTTGATTGAAACTGTAATAAAGTCAATTCTACCATGACTTCAGTAAATACTGGATTGTGATTGGTTAATCAAAGTCATTCAGAGGTATATAATCACGTTATATACCTCTGATTTTCCAACACAGTATGTATTTTGCAAAATCTTAATAACGCGGTTATAGAATGGAGATAAGCGTGAGATTGTGTTGGAAAATCAGAGGTATATAACGAAATTATAATAGCTCTAAAAAAAATATTTAAAACCTCACGCTACGCGTTCGGTATTAAATCAAATTTAGAGCTATTATAATTTCGTCATATACCTCTGATTTTCCAACACAGTATGTTTATCTCCTAATTGATACATGTACATGTATACGTTTTTATGTTCTTGTCTCGGTATGTCAAAGGGAAGTAACTCTACTGTAGTGGTGTACATAATGGTTTGTTTCAGTAGTCCATACGTTTCACTATCCGAACACATTTTATGAAAAACGGAAGCGTTCGGATTAACGCGGCCTGACTGTATTCTCAGATCTTTAAGAATTTTGTATAAGTAAAAATTTATTAATATTTTAAGGAAGATTATGCCAGACAAATTTCACTGATGAAGTGCATTTCAAGTTAGTTGCTCGGACATAAGTTCGTTTGCTTCTTTGTTTAAAACCGAACTCCGCAACATCCCAACCGGGTTGGAATTGGTCTTCAACAACCGATGTCATCATAAGAGGCATGGTCTGGCTCTCTGACTTGGTTGACACATGTCATCGTATCCCAATTGCGTAGATCCATGCTCATGATGTCAATCACTGGATTGTCTGGTCCAGACTTGAATACTTACAGACCGCCACCATACAGCTGGAATATTGCTGAATGCAGCTTTAAACCACAAACAAACAAAACTTAACAGTATTCAAAGATATATCACGGCATGTAAACATAATTTTGAAGGAAAGCTTGAAGTGAAGCAGTTCTCGGACATTTACCCCTTGGTCGAAAGCAAACACGAGCAGAGGCATGGTGCTGAGAAAAATCATGCCCAAATCATGACAAGCCTAGAATATGATATCCTATAAAACATGATGGTGTCAGACTGTCCATATATGGATGACTGACTAGCAAGGGTTGAACATGAAACCATTCTGACAGCTGGAGTTTTTAACAATTTTGTTTGTTTGTTTTTACGCGCACTCAGCAATATTCCAGCTATATGGAGGTGGTCTGTAAATAATCATGTCTGGATCAGACAATCCAGTGATCAACATCATGAGCATCAGTTGTCACAATTGGGATACAATGACATGATCCCGTTAGTCATCTCTTAAAACAAGAATGGGTTGCTGAAGACCAATTCTAACACGGATCTTCACAGGTATTTTTATAAGATAATGACAGTTAACCTGCTAAGTTGATGAGAAACTTACAGTGCCTGGATCCTCTTTCTTCTTCTTCCTCCTCTCGGCCAGGTCCCGTTTCCACGCGGCAGGTCTTCAGTAGTCGTGTTGGTGTCTCGTACACCGAGGGGAGACTTGCTCACAGATGCATCACCGCGTCCGTTAACACTACTGGGCTTGGCTAAGATATACAACAAAGTCAGATTAAAAATCAAGTTTTAAAGATATCTTCATTCCTAACAAAATCATCAACACATGGCTAATTATAACATGTAAACATGGAGAAAAATATTAAATTGAAATACACAAAGAATATGTGCATCGTCACAAAACTGTTGGAATTTTCAAATTCATGGTCTCACATTTTGTCATTGGTTCTTAGTAATGGAGGCAAGCAGAAGTTGCATGATTTGTTGAAATTTGATGCTGACAGTAACTGTATTGTGAAAATGTTATTGTCACGAGATAACATGTCTTCTAGACAAGGATAAAGTGAGCAAGTGGCTTAATGTTGCTTTGAACAGTATTCCAGTACAGTAGAATACTTTTATACTGACTGACTGAGTTTGGTTTTATGCCGCTTTTAGCAATATTCCAGCAACATCACGGCGGGGGACACCAGAAATGGGCTTCACACGTTGTACCCATGAGAATACTTTTATAACGAACACGGATATAATGAACTGACGGCTCTAGCGAACTGTTTCAAAAGTCCCGAATAAACCTTATATTATCATATAAAAAAGTGAATAGCGAACTACGGATATAACGAAGTAACTTCAGTGGTCCCTTGGAGTTCGTTATAAAGGTATTTTACTGTAATATCACAACATGTCAGCTTAATGTTGAAGAAACACCCAAAGTGATGTAAGTTTGAAAAGTTTACAACTTTGGTAAAACCTTCGAGCAACAGTAAGATGCTGACAAACCTACAAACATCATCAGGATTAGAACCCATGATCATAGATGCCCAAGGGAGGCAACTCTACACCTAAGACAACCATGTCGCTAACCTGGATAAAGATTTTAAAGTATTCAAAAGAGGAGTGATTCTAACTTCGATCTTTTTAAGCCACAATTTGATACAGGTGCTAAAATAAAAGGAAGCATTTGTTTAATGAATACAGAAGCCAAAATCCATCAGTCGACTCTGTTTCCACTGATTCTAAAATTTCTATAAAGCCAGGCAAAGACAAAACAAAAAGTAGTTCACCTTCAGTCTTGGGTTTGGGCCTGTCCACCAGTGGCTTAAGGCTTGGCTGAGGTCGGTCCTCCCTAGGGACCCGAGGAGTAGTTGTGCGGACACTAGTACTGGCCTTCGGACTGACCGCTATCTCAACCCTGGTTGTGCTTGCCTTAGCCTCGGATGTCTTTACAGGAGTGCGTTCTGCCAAGCCCTTAGACGGGGTGGAGTCAGCGCTGCTGGTGTCACTGACTCCCGATGAAGTCTTCCGTAACTTCATCCCAGTTAGCCAGGCAGGCTGATCCTTCTTCTCTTCTTTCTTTTCTTCTTCTTTGTTCTTCCCTGGCGACACTCTCCTCAGGGAGTTCTTCCTCTCAGACAGCTCCCCGTGAATCACATTATTCTCCACCGTGGGGCTGGTGACCTTCGTCTCGATGCTGCTGCTTCGCGTAGACCGGAGGTTGACCTTCTCCAAGGTCATAGACGATGTCTTGTTACTGGTACTCTCCTGAGGCACGGCAGGCTTTAGCACAGTGGGAAACACACTGCCCTTACCAGTCTCCTGAGAGATGGAAGAGGAACCTTTCTTGGTCTCTCCAGGCTGGGCCTCCTTCAGCCGAGACCTTGTGGTTTTGAGATCGGAAGGTGGGGAAAGTTTAGGCCTGGGGCTGAGTTGTGGTTTCCTCAATTTGATGACTGGCTTCTGTTTGTCCTCCGTTGAGTCAAGGTCACTGACAGAGGGAGCACCATTTGTTTGGTCATGGACAGATTCAGCTGAAGAGGAGGGCTGACCTCGCTTGTTCCCAATACCCTTTAACAGCTGAAGGAAAACACGACAAACATTGGTTTCAAAATGGCTCATTGTAAGTTGGGGTTCGAGTTGTTGGGTTCAAGTTGTTGGGTAAGTGATTGAGTGGTTGAGTGAGTGGTTGAGTGAGAGGTTGAGTGAGTGGTTGAGTGAGTGGTTGAGTGAGTGGTTGTGTGATTGAGTGGTTGAGTGAGTGGGTTAGTGAGCGGTTGAACGAGTGAGAGGTTTAGTGAGGAGTGAGTAAGTGGTTGAGTAAGTGAGAGGTTGTTGAGTGAGAGGTTGAGGTTGAGTGGTTGAGTGGTTGAGAGTGAGAGGTTGAGTGAGAGGTTGAGTGAGAGTTGAGTGAGAAGTTGAGTGAGTGGTTGAGTGAGTGGGTGAGTGAGAGAGGTTGAGTGAGAGGTTGAGTGAGAGGTTGAGTGAGTGGTTGAGTGAGTGGTCGACCAAGTGGTTTAGTGAGTGAGTGGTTGAGTCAGTGGTCGAGTGAGTGGTCGAATGAGTGGTCGATTGAGTGAGTGGTTGAGTGAGTGGTTGAGTGAGTGGTCGAGTGAGTGGTTTAGTGAGTGAGTGAGTGAGTGGTTGAGTGGTGAGTGAGGTTGTGTGATTGAGTGGTTGAGTGAGTGGTTAGTGAGTGGTTTAGTGAGTGAGTGAGTGAGAGAGTGATTGAGTGAGTTGAGTGAGAGGTTGTGTGATTAAGTGGTTGAGTGAGTTAAGTGGTTGAGTGGTTGTGTGTGAGTGGTTGAGTGGTGAAGTGAATGGTTGAGCAAGTGGTTGAGTGAGTGGTTGAGTAAGTGGTTGAGTGAGTGGTTGAGTGAGAGTGGTTGAGTGAGAGGTTCAGTGACTGAGTGAATGGTTGAGAGAGTGGTTGAGTGAGTGGTGAGTGAGTGAGTGGTTGAGTGAGTGAGTGGTTGAGTGAGAGGTTCAGTGACTGAGTGAATGGTTGAGCGAGTGGTTGAGTGAGGGGATGAATGAGTGGTTGAGTGGTTGAGTGAGAGGTTGAGTGAGAGGTTGAGCAGTTGAGTGAGTGAGTGGTTGAGTGAGTGAGGGAAGGAGGGTGGTGGATTTTAGACCACAGAAAGCAATATTCCAACAATATCATGGCAGGGGATACCAAAAGACGGCTTCACACACTGCACAAAACGATCTAGCAGCACCAAGTGATAATTTTAAGAAGAGAAAGTGCAATACTGCCATGATCTTTAAACAGCATTAACACCTATGAGAAATCAGCCAGAACTGCTGGGTGATTTGAAAATGAACATATGTACCAATAACATGTCAGCAAATTGAGTTTGGTTAAATTTTACCATATACATGAAATTGATCAAAAGATGTCCCAAGGATGTCTCAACAAATGAGCTTTTTAATAGGCTTAAAACAGTACCTGAGACTGAGCCAACATATCAGGTCCAAGCACCAGCCTTCCACCAACAGGGCCCTTCTTCCCGACTGGCTCTTCTTTCTCTGGGCTAGCACTGGAGGTAGCAACCTCCTCAATCTTCTCCTTTAGCTCTGGCTTGGGCTTATCCTCGACCTTCTCTTTTGCCTTCTCAGCTTTCTCTTCTGGCTTCTCCAAGGGCTTCTCCACAGGCTTCTCAGGGGGAAGCTGTTCCTGCTTGGTCTCAGCCTTGACCTCAGAGGAAGCCCTAGCTGTAGCCCCTGTGTCAACCTTGTCAACCTTGGCTGATGGTTGACCTCTCTTGCTGCCGATGCCCTTCAGCAGCTGTAGTACAAATATGGGATATGACATATTGGGATATGTGTCAACCAAGTCAGCAAGCCTGCATCATGGTTTGCTGAAGACCGATTCTAACCCAGATCTTCACAGGTAAACAGAGGAAGTACATCATGGCAGTGTGAGAAATAGTTTCCAAATTTTTCTAGCCAGACGAGCTAGCGATGCCTAAAAGTTACTAGCCCACAAAATTATTCACTGTTTCATCATTAAGCTGCTAATATGATGAACATTTTTATCAGGCCATAATCTTGCATGATTTAAAAGTGTATTATAACTTAAGAAGTTGGAGCGAATGATATACATGTATTTACAAAATGACCCCATGAAAATTCACTAGCCATTCGGGCCAGTGACCGTGGAGATTTACTGGCCCGACTGGATTTTTACTAGCCACGGGCAAGTGGGCCAGTGGCTATTTTGAACACTGCATCATGGTATACACTTTATAAGCAATCATGTCTAGACACACCGGCATCAATTTTATCAAAATATATAGTCAAAATTAACATACGTCTGCTTTCGAAAACAAATAAAAGTCAGGAATGACTAGCTTGAAATCTTTATAGATCATCACCTTTATACAGGTCAATGGCAACTGCAGCAGATCACTAAATGATTTTGTAAAGGTCCATATACAGTTTCAATCTGTGCTGTGTCAGTAAAAGTTAGGAAGCACTAATCTCAAGCCTTTGTAGATTATCATCTTTATACAGTCGTAACAGGTCAATGACAGCTCTAGCAGATCACTAAATGATTTTGTAAACTTCCAAGTGTAAGTAACGCTGTTGTTACCTGAGCCTGAGCCAGGACATCGGGCCCCAGAAGCAGCTTCCCACCAGGCACGGGGCACTTCTTGACAACTTCAGGCTTCTTGTCCTCGTCCTTGGCAGCACTGGACTCAGGTTCTTCCTCTGGCTTGGTCTGATCTTCCATCTCATCCTTGTCTGCATCTATAAAAACATTTCAATTCTGAAATCCTGGCATGATTTATAACAAAAACAAAAAAGCTGGAATCAATTCGTGCCCGCAGTTCACATCATGCTTGCCAGCGTCAACAAAGATAGCAGCCGCAGCCGCGAAGGTTTGTTCGCGGTGCGACTCAGATTTTGGGGGAAATCATACAGACAAATTGACAGGTCTGAACTTTAAAAAAATTATATGCAAGAACTCCTTCTACCTCTTTCAGAGTACCTCTGCATCAATTGTGGTGCCACGTTTAATCGGTTAGATAATTTAAGAAGAGAAAGCGAGTTGCGATTGGTACGCTCAAAAAGCCAGTCAAGGGAAGCAATAAAATCATTGGGCCGAGCTGTAGATGCATCCAGGGTATAGTGGAGATTTATTGTAATGTATACCCTGGAGATCATGAGGATAGTGATATGCATGGTGCTTGATATAGAAGTACACTAGTCGGGGCATGGCTCGTCATGGATCACTGAACATTCAACAGCTCATGAAAAAGGTTCAACTTTTGAATTTGACTAATACGTACAGAGACTTTCAATACTTTCTACTAATGATGAAGGCACATGACAACGGCAACACAAGTAAGGACTTGACGAAGTAAGTCCTCTGACTTGTAGATTAGGTAGGTAAGTCCTCTTATAACCTACCTGCAATTATGGATCTGACACAAGGGAGTCCTCCGACTGCTGTATAAAGTCCTCTGACAGCTGGACTGAGTAAGTCCTCTGACAATCTACCTGTACTTGTAGCGCTGACAATAAGACTGCCACCTGACTGCTAGATGAAGTAAGTCCTATCACAACCAACCTGCACTTGTGGATCTGACTGCTGGTCTAAGTAAGTCCTCTGACCCCCTACCCGTACTTGTAGGGCTGACAATACAACCGTCCTCTGACTGATAGACTAAGTAAGTCCTCTGACCCCCATACCTGTAGAGCTGGCAATACAACCGTCCTCTGACTGTTAAACTAAGTAAGTCCTCTGACTGTTAGACTAAGTAAGCCCTCTGACAACCTACCTGTACTTGTAGAGCTGACAATACGACCGTCCTCTGACTGTTAGACTAAGTAAGCCCTCTGACAACCTACCTTCACTTGTAGCGCCACCTGTTTGACTAAGTAAGCCCTCTGACAACCTACCTTCACTTGTAGCGCTGACAATGCGACTGTCCTCCGACTGTTAGATGAATTAAGTCCTCTGACAACTTACCTGCACTTGTGGGGCTGACGCTGAGACCGTCCTCCGTCTGCTGAAATACTCGTCTCATACTGCTGCGAGTGGGCTTCTTCCTCCGTGCCAGAGAGCTCCGTTTCCGTAGCGATGTCTTGCTTCTGTTCATGTTAGGATCCAGTAATGATGTATCCTGAGTGGAGGAAGCATAATCATTACAATCAAGAACAAGGACTGTCATTCATGCCACAGAATACTGGACAAATTCATTCAGACAGAGATCATAAAAAACATTTCAAGGGAAGTCTGAGTGTCTTAAAGTTCAACTTCAGCAAAATTTCAGCCATATTGTGAAGACAGTGAGTGAGTATGGTTTTATGCCACTTTTAGCAATATTACAGCAATATATACATCAAGTGTATTACACATTGTACACATGTGGGGAATCGAACCCAGGTCTTCGGAGCGATGAGCGAACACATTAACCACTAGGCTAGCCCAGCATCACCTTGCGACGAGAATATATACAACAAATAAATTGACTAGCACTGACTACAGTCTGTTTGAGACAAAATGATACCGATGAATTGCAATCTAACACAAAAACAAATAAAGAATCAAACCAACGCGGACTGCAATAAAAACATATATACTTTTAACAGTTCTTATTTTTATATTCCATTGGTATTTTATTCGCATTTTAACATTGCATTGAATACAAATCAGTTATTGGATTCTCATCAGGATAGCTGAACACCTGTACACAACAGTACAACAGTACAAAATGGTTCATTCTGATTTGTTTCACACACTTTGTATTGTTTCACAAACTGAAATCATTACTTGTACAAACAATGGGCAAAAACTTGTACAAAACATTCTCAATCAACCGTAGGAAGTCCATTATTCCGAATTATAAAGGACGATGACAGAGATATTGTACATTTGATAAAATCAGTTGTAGAGTAAATAGTCTATTGTGATAAATTGTATGTGGACTTGAATATTTGTTTCTTGTTTACTATTACATGGAAATAAAGCACAATCAGAGTGAGATTCATGATACTGACTGATACTGACATGATACTGACATCAAATAATCATAACAATGTAATAAGTCCAGGAATTTCTTTCAAAATGCCAGTCTGCCCAAACTCCTAGGATTCAAACTATTCAGCCCCGACGGGCCCACCAGGGTTTTACAAAAATGTGGGAGATTCGGTTGGTTGATTTTTTAACACCCCAATATTACCAGACAATCATAATTTGGCACAATTGGGATACGATGACATGTGTCAACCAAGTCAGCAGGGAACGTATTCTATCTCCAAATCCTATTACGGTGTATCTGAATTGACTGAATTGTTCCCACTGCCTGTGATTCATGACAAAAGCATGACAAATGTAAAAATTACCTCAATCACAGAGAAGTCCAACTCGTCTGGTTCTGGGTCTCCAAAATCACTGCTGCTGTTAGGCTGAAAAGTTGACACAATTCTTATGATGATATCACTATATTTTCATCGATATTAGGACAAGTTGTATATAAATATATCAGTTATGTTGGCAATAACCGTCCAGTGTTCATGCCATACATATGAACACCATACATATGTCCAACAACTAATAACAAAAGTATTATTGTGATTATTTGAATATATAACATTCAAAATCATTAAAGGCACAATGTCACACCCCACTTCTCGAAAAATAGATAATGCATTTCTCTCAATAATACTAACTATCAGCCCTCAGGGAAGCTACCATATACATGTAATCTATTTCAAACAAAATTACGGGTTTTGATTACAATAATAAATTAAAAACATTTGATGAATTAATGCAACGTCGGCTATCGCACCCTCCTCCGGACGAACATTAATTCAAGCGAACCCCATCGAGTTATGTCCCTTGGAGCACTCTTTACGAATCCTACGCACAACTTGTCACTGAAAACCAGTTCGTCAAACACCAGCAACACTGTGTGCGACATTGTTCGATGTACGGAACAATGGTTTACATTCCATATGTGGCAAATGTTATCTGTTTGGAAGCTGTAAGCCTCAAACTTTCAATTTTAGATTTCAGGCAAGTCATAAGGGATGATTTTATTGCATCAGCAGGAAGCTAAAGTGAGTGCATATGCCCCTAATACACAATATATTGGCCAAAATATTGTCGACAATGTGTGACATTGTGCCTATAAAGTAAAGTTGTGAGCATATTCCTGTTACGATTCACTAGAATCAAACCGCATCCCTTCATAAGTTAAAGTCAATATTCAGAGGCGGATACAGCTTTTTGAGAAGGAGAAGGGGTGGGGTTTGCACACTATTGAGAAAAGGAGGGGTGCACACTTCATTTTAACCTGAGTTTCAATGGTCATCTAACAAACTTTCAGCACAATAGGGGGGCTGCGCACCCCCGCACCAACCCTCTGGATCCGCCTATGATATTCATGGTCATTACAAATGACAATTTACGAATACTTCTGAGGGAGTTTTCTTACTTAGAACTAGTTTGCTGTTTATCAGAGTGAGATGGGCAAAATGGACTGACTGAATGACTGACTGAGTTTGGTTGTACGCCGCTTTTAGCAATATTCCAGCAATATCACCACTGGGGACACCAGAAATGGGCTTCACTCATTGTACCCATGTGGGGATTCGAACTCGGATCTTCGGCGTGACAAGCCAACGCTTAAACCACTAGACTACCCCAACGCCCCGCAAAATGGAACATATCAAGGCACAGAGTAGCATAATGTGTAATATTTGCCATGCATCTTCTTGGGATTGTCATTAGGTTACAAACAACATTGTTCCAGAAATGCAAAAACATATTGAAATCAATAAAACCGTCAAACTATTTATCTAATTATACACACACAAAACTGATGACAACAGTTCAAAATGAGTGACAATGTACTGCACAATCAGAAGTACAGATAAGCTGTGTATCTGTGTAAATTATGCAAATATTTATGTGAAAACTCAATACCTATTAAGTCTATTGGGTACAAGTACGCTTGAATTTTGGTAAATACTCAATACATTTGATCTTACAAACGTAGACACAAAAATGTAATTTTTATGATAAAATTATTATTTTTATACTTATCCTGACTCATGATTATTATAGAGGTTCTATTTCAGCACATGGACATGGCAACTTGCTGTCATTTCTCATATTTACAGATCAAATAACAAACATGTAATCCAACATTTAAACTTCATTATATTTTTACAATTAATGGAAAATGGCAAATACCCAATTGTGTTTGAGTGAGGTGGGTACAATTTATTTGGTAACTCAAAGAAAAGTTAGGATACCTCATTTAGATGAACACAAGCGAGTACATAACTCAATGACTCAAAAAGTTATCTGCAGCTCTGACCATAACGTAACACAAGCCCCCTCTGTTTTGCTAACACCGTATCTAGAAACAGTAGTCCGTTACAAGAGTGACCAAATTAATTTTTCAGCAATGAGATACAAAAATCAAAAGTAAAATGGACATTTCACTCAAAGACTTCATACTGACCAGCAAAAGGGTGGGTACCAACAGATAACTTATTTTGACATCATTGGGCCCCGGGATTAGTCTGCTTCAACCCCGTGATGACAAATGCTCCATCCACTACACCGTGGAGGAGATCTGTTCACCAGTGGTTGATATTATGAGTGAGTGAGAGAGTGAGTTTGTTCTTACGCTGCTTTTAGCAATACTCCAGCAATATCACGGCAGGGGGCACCACACTGCGCACACTCTGTACCCATGTAGGGAATCGAACAACGCTAGCTACCCTATCAACCGTTGATATTATGAGCACTGTTAGGCTTAATGACATGCCATTGACAAAGTCAATACGTCCACCTACCTCACGCATTTAGTCAACTTCTAACATATTCTAGCCTGGAATCTCTATAGGAAGGATGGTATGGAAGGTTGATGGGGACTTATTCTAACGATCGCCTCCGTGGTGTAGTGGTTAGAGCGTCCGTCCGGAGAGACCGGAAGGTCGCGGGTTCGATCCCCGACCGCATCATAACAAAAGACGTTAAAATATGGTACTTGTTGGTCCCTGCCTGGCGTTCGGCATTAATGGGTACAACAAGGACTGGTCGGCTCGGAGTCAGTGGGGTATTCATGCTTCACTGCGGCATGGTTTCTCAGTGGGCTAGCACTATAAAACCAGCTTCAGTCTGGGCTAGTACAAGCAGCTGCACATACACATGCACGTCGTCATATGAGCGAAATATTCTCAAGCACGACGTTAAACCCAATTTCACCTCACTTATTCTAACCTGGAATGTCTACAGGAAGGATGGTATGGAAGGTTGATGGGGACATATTCTAACCTGGAATCTCTACAGGAAGGTTGGTATGGAAGGTTGATGGGGACATATTCTAACCTGGAATCTCTACAGGAAGGGTGGTATGGAAGGTTGAATGGGGCTTATTCTAACCTGGAATCTCTACAGGAAGGATGGTATGGAAGGTTGATGGGGACCTATTCTAACCTGGAATCTCTACAGGAAGGATGGTATGGAAGGTTGGTGGGGACATATTCTAACCTAGAATCTCTACAGGAAGGGTGGTATGGAAGGTTGATGGGGACTTATTCTAACCTGGAATCTCTACAGGAAAGGTGGTATGGAAGGTTGATGGGGACTTATTCTAACCTGGAATCTCTACAGGAAGGATGGTATGGAAGGTTGATGGGGACATATTCTAACCTAGAATCTCTACAGGAAGGGTGGTATGGAAGGTTGATGGGGACTTATTCTAACCTGGAATCTCTACAGGAAGGATGGTATGGAAGGTTGATGGGGACATATTCTAACCTGGAATCTCTACAGGAAGGATGGTATGGAAGGTTGATGGGGACTTATTCTAACCTGGAATCTCTACAGGAAGGATGGTATGGAAGGTTGATGGGGACGTATTCTAACCTGGAGTCTCTACAGGAAGGATGGTATGGAAGGTTGATGGGGACATATTCTAACCTGGAATCTCTACAGGAAGGATGGTATGGAAGGTTGATGGGGACTTATTCTAACCTGGAATCTCTACAGGAAGGATGGTATGGAAGGTTGATGGGGACTTATAACCTGGAATCTCTAACCTGGAATCTCTACAGGAAGGATGGTATGGAAGGTTGATGGGGACTTATTCTAACCTGGAATCTCTACAGGAAGGATGGTATGGAAGGTTGATGGGGACATATTCTAACCTGGAATCTCTACAGGAAGGATGGTATGGAAGGTTGGTGGGGACATATTCTAACCTGGAATCTCTACAGGAAGGATGGTATGGAAGGTTGATGGGGACATATTCTAACCTGGAATCTCTACAGGAAGGATGGTATGGAAGGTTGGTGGGGACATATTCTAACCTGGAATCTCTACAGGAAGGATGGTATGGAAGGTTGGTGGGGACATATTCTAACCTGGAATCTCTACAGGAAGGATGGTATGGAAGGTTGATGGGGACATATTCTAACCTGGAATCTCTACAGGAAGGATGGTATGGAAGGTTGATGGGGACATATTCTAACCTGGAATCTCTACAGGAAGGATGGTATGGAAGGTTGGTGGGGGGACTTATTCTAACCTGGAATCTCTACAGGAAGGATGGTATGGAAGGATGGTGGGGACATATTCTAACCTGGAATCTCTACAGGAAGGATGGTATGGAAGGTTGATGGGGACTTATTCTAACCTGGAATCTCTACAGGAAGGATGGTATGGAAGGTTGGTGGGGACATATTCTAACCTGGAATCTCTACAGGAAGGATGGTATGGAAGGTTGGTGGGGACATATTCTAACCTGGAATCTCTACAGGAAGGATGGTATGGAAGGTTGGTGAGGGACTTATTCTAACCTGGAATCTCTACAGGAAGGATGGTAAGGAAGGATGGTGGGGACATATTCTAACCTTGAATCTCTACAGGAAGGATGGTATGGAAGGTTGATGGGGACTTATTCTAACCTGGAATCTCTACAGGAAGGATGGTATGGAAGGTTGGTGGGGACTTATTCTAACCTGGAATCTCTACAGGAAGGATGGTATGGAAGGTTGGTGGGGACATATTCTAACCTGGAATCTCTACACCAAGGATGGTATGGAAGGTTGGTGGGGACATATTCTAACCTGGAATCTCTACAGGAAGGATGGTATGGAAGGTTGGTGGGGACATATTCTAACCTGGAATCTCTACAGGAAGGATGGTATGGAAGGTTGGTGGGGACATATTCTAACCTGGAATCTCTACACCAAGGATGGTATGGAAGGTTGGTGGGGACATATTCTAACCTGGAATCTCTACAGGAAGGATGGTATGGAAGGTTGGTGGGGACATAATTCTAACCTGGAATCTCTACAGGAAGGATGGTATGGAAGGTTGGTGGGGACATATTCTAACCTGGAATCTCTACAGGAAGGATGGTATGGAAGGTTGATGGGGACATATTCTAACCTGGAATCTCTACAGGAAGGATGGTATGGAAGGTTGATGGGGACATATTCTAACCTGGAATCTCTACAGGAAGGATGGTATGGAAGGTTGATGGGGACATATTCTAACCTGGAATCTCTACAGGAAGGATGGTATGGAAGGTTGGTGGGGACATATTCTAACCTGGAATCTCTACAGGAAGGATGGTATGGAAGGTTGATGGGGACATATTCTAACCTGGAATCTCTACAGGAAGGATGGTATGGAAGGTTGGTGGGGACATATTCTAACCTGGAATCTCTACAGGAAGGATGGTATGGAAGGTTGGTGGGGACATATTCTAACCTGGAATCTCTACAGGAAGCATTGTATTGGAAGGTTGATGGGGACATATTCTAACCTGGAATCTCCATTTGACTAATATAGCACATGACTATATATGTTGGAGAGGGCTACAGATGAATGTTTGAGTCACTGAGTATTCGGTGACATGTTATTCTTCACTCCAGCTATCAATATTTTTCTTCGGGGTAAAGTTTTATTCTATTGGGTCCTTGGGAGTACTTTTAAACCCTATTCAGATCATAATTCTGCCAAAGTGATCGTGTAAAATGCATTGGTTGATGTGCTGCTGTATCATCATGAGCACGATGATCTGCCATTATGCTTTATTTACTGCAGTTGAATTAGTGTACATTTAGCAGATCTGTAACAAAAAGCATGTATGGGTTTTATATACTTTTTAATAACTATTTGAATGCAAACAACTCCCAGTGATATTGGTAACGGTTAATTAGTTAGTATATTTGACGCAAGTATGCAGCTTATTTAAAATTCTGGTTTCAGTTGTTGAATCAATACAACCGCAGGTGCAGGCTATTGACAGGGATGCAGAAATGAAAAGTGTAAACAAATTTAATGAGAGAATATTTATGAGTAATATATGTAACTTTTCAATTAAGGGGGAAGTAGCAACCGAACGTGTTTCACAATTCAAACATAAACAAATAAAAACATCATCTGGTTAAAAAACTGAAGAGAAATGTTTCCTTTAGAAAATGTTTGGGGACTTATGAAGGAAAGTGTCAATAAGAAAAATCTGACAAATATTGCTGAAATGAAAGAAGAGGTGGTCCGATATTGGGACAGCATGGACCACGACTTTCTAACTTCTTTGATCAGTAGTATGCCCCGCTGCATTGAAGCCTGCATTGCTGCCCATGGTGACTTGACAAAATAGGCCTACCTTTAGAATACAGCACCACAAACTTTAAAAAATCGCCATAATACCCTTTACGTAATGTAATGTGATTTTGTTCGAAAGCACGTTCGAAACAATGCCCTATGACGCCTGCATGGCAACACGGTGGTCTAGCTCAGCCGAAAGTGCGCGTATAAGCTCCCCTCACTGGTGTTTCATCTCTACTCTAGCTATGCCATTGCATGAGCCCAACGATGTTGAGAGTTTCCAGTAGTTGTATACGGGCGGATGCTAATATTTTGCAAGCACCAGTTTGAAATATTTTTCTTTTTCACTAATCACGCTCATATTTATTTGTATTACGGGCTGCTGAGGAGTTATGTTTTGTGTATTTTGTATTTTGTAATTTTTAAATTTACATATATATTTTGTCATTCAGTAATTTGCACCATTACCGGTACATAGAAAAGTGTTTATTAGTATTTTATTTTTCGAGCGGTAATAATGCATTACACTAGACACGTCGTGTTTGTGCAGGTTAGGTCAATGCTTTCTATTTATTAGGATTAATTCAAGTGATTAGGGTTAGGGATAGGACTAGGACTAGGACTAGGACTAGGACTAGGACTAGGACTAGGACTAGGGTTAGGGTTAGGGTTAGGGTTAGGGACCTAATACAATATAGTAGGTACATGTCCGGTGGTTCGGGTCAATGCATTCTATTTATTAGGATTATTACAAGGGGTTAGGGTTAGGGTTTAGGGTTTAGGGTTAGGGACCTAATCCAATATAGTAGGTGCATGTCGGTGTAATCACGTGAGTACCATTTTGTTGTTTTTCCTTTTTGCATTTTAATACTTTTTTCACACAAGCGCGGAAACCAAAAGCGTCGAAAAGTACATTATGAAATGGGTTAATGTAGAAATTTTGGGCTAATGGAAATTGGCCTGGAATTTGCACTCAAGCCTCTTTCACACGCGCAACATAAATTATGTAAAGTAATGATTCGAAGGCTAACTCACCCTCGTGCCGTCACTACACATGCTCATGTCTCCCTCGTTCCTTAGTGCGATCCACATTATCCTAACAGTGTTCCCTACATCACTTTTCTGTCACAAAATCACTGATTTATATAAAAGCGTCATTCATGCATGCACCGTGAAATCTCGTCTGACGCCTGGACGTCAACAACCCTTTTCAGTTTGAGGCATATCGCTCTCATTCCACGCCACACGTTAATTTGTAGATTACGGAATGGGGACGAGTGTGCCAAATGGCATCGGATCCATTCGGCGGTTGTCCGTAGAATAAAATCACGAGACACCATGCAAGTCTACCCGTAGCATTCGTAATTGTCCATGACCTATTCGACTCTTTCCGTTCATTTCGTGGACGTCACAGGAATGACTCGATAAATTTGGACATTGTGCAACAGTGTGGACGAAGCTCAGTCGGTTAGCTGTCAAGCTAACAATCCGAAGGTCAGCGGGTTAGCGTCCGACGGGTTCTCACAAACTGGTTGCTTGTCTTAATGACACGTGACCCACGGCAGAGATCGTCCTCACGAGAAGTTTTGGTGCTGTATTCTAAAGGTGCTCCACAAAATACTAACTGTTCACCTGTCTTTGAATCTGGAGTTATGTTCTGCTAATATTCACATTTAATACATTTATTTTTTTCTGCCGACATGGTGATGGAGATAACAAATGCCTGCATGCAAAACGAGAATATCAGTTTTACATACACAAAAAAAAGCATATGTTCTGCCCATATTTGATGAGGTAAAACATTGATATATTCCATTTGGAAGCTTGATGATGTGTACTTAATCTTGCTTTTCTTCGGCGGTGTGGTCGGCTCCGCCATTTTGCTTCACTTACATACAGGATATGACATGTAAAATTTTACGAAACTTTGTCGTTAATAACACACAAAATACACAATCGAGACCCCAAAACATACTCTAAGCTTCCGAATGCTTTAACCGGTATCAACTAAAAAAAAATGACCGGTGACTTACGAAACTGTACACCATAAAAAAATTCAGAGTCTTTTAAAGACAAATTTGAGAGTGGATTTTGCATTTGAAATCCGAGTAACTCTGCCAAAATATGAGTGGTTGGCATCACTGCTATATGCCTATATTCCTACAGCTTAAAAACACAAGTATATCACAGAACAATGTGTTTGAAAGCAAACAGGGAACACTTGCCATAGATGGAATGTACACAATTGCTCCTCACATCGAAAACTGTTGTTGGTGTTTGTCGAACTGGTTTCAATCACATAGTGGTGCGTAGGATATTTGTAAAGAGCGCTCCAAGGGACATAACTCTATGGGGTTACGCTTGAAATAATGTTGAGAGTCAATTTAATGCAACATTGCATTAATTCATTAGAACTTTTTAATTTAATATTGTCATCTAAATATGTATTGGCGGGGGGGGGAGAGGAATAAATTATATGGTAGCTTCCCTGAGGGCTGATAGTTAGTATTATTGAGAGAAAGAGAAATGCACAGGGTTTTACTGACTGACTGACTGAGTTTGTGGCTTTTAGTGACACCAGAAATAACACATTGTGCCCATGTGTTTATACAGCTTTTGCTAAAGTTTTTTTAGAATACATAGTGGTTCATACATGAATACTGGTAAATGTTTGTTTCTTCTTTTGTTTACCACTGCACGCAGGAATTTTCAAGCTATATGACATCAGTCTGTAAATATTCAAGTCTGGACCAAAGTATCCAATGACTGACATAATGAACATTGATTAATCCTTTTAGAATGTTTATCTGCCAACCATGAAGATCAAGGTTAGAATTGGTCTTCAGCAACCCATGCTTGTCATAACAAGCAACTAACAGGATCAGATGGTCAAGCATGCTGACACAAGTCAACGTGTCCCAACTGCTGCTCATGCTGTTGATCACTGGATAGTCTGGTCTAGACTTGATTATTTACATACTGCTGCCATGAAGTCATGATGCTTACCTTTGCTGGCTCTGTCACAGGTGAGACGTGTATCTCAGCCTTCCCATCCACAGTGTCGGGAGTGTCCTTCGTATCCGTTGACACTGCTGCTGCTGCTGCTGGCTTGCTGGTGGAGAAGAAGTCATCAAGGTCACTGCTTGTCCTGCTGCTTTTACCGTTGGTCATCAAGGCATCATCTGTAAATGAAACAGCTGCAGCCACTTCTGTAGACTTTGTCATCTGAGAAGAACTGCCAAACAGGTCATCAAAATCTGTTTTTGAACTGGGAGTTGTAACAGCAGATTCCTTGAAAATATCAAGTGTGTCGTCGGTTTTGTTCCTGGAAGTATCCGCTATAGACTTCTTTCCATACGAACTCCCAAATAAATCCTCACCGGGATCATCGTCCTTCTTATCTAGCGCCTTCTCTGATTTTTTCAAGTCACTTTTAAACAGTTCGTTAAGGTCGTCGGTATTCTTGCTTGAAAACATACTGTTCGATTTCCCACTTTCAGAATCACCAAACAAATCCACAAGTTGAGATCCATTACTTTTACTTGCTGCCTGGGTCGACTGCTTGGCACTTCCACTTCCAAACAGATCATCCAAAGAAGAATCGGTCCCTGAAACCGTGCTTGACTTTACACTGCCAAACAAATCATCCATGGCACTGCCAGATGAACCACTGGGTTTTGATTCCTCGAATAAATCATCGAAGGTAGATCCATGACTGGATGTACTCTTCTTGGTCTTTTTATCAGAGGGTGCTCCATCGAACAGGTCGTTGAACGTACTGCCGTGAGCTTTGGTGCCACTCTTGCTGCTGGTGCTGGAGAATATGTCGCCAAGGTCGTCTGTGTGGGAAGACTTCATGCTGGAGCTACCACTACCAAATAAATCTGAGTCATTCATGGACTTAAAGTCTTCTGCATCCTTCGACAAAACCATCCAGGATTCAGTCTGAAAAAAAAAGTGGGTGTTAATAGTAAGAGAATGTCACAGTCAGAATACTGCAGTGATATCACAGCAATCGGCAATAATCTAGCATCATATCAGTGATTCATAAATAATCCAGGGATATCTCAGTGATTCATAAATAGTACAGTGATATCACAGTGATTTATATTTTATAAACAATTCAGCGACATCTCTGTTATTCATAAATAGTATAGTGATATCATAGTGATTTATAAACAATTCAGCGATATCTCTGTGATTCATAAATGGTATAGTAATATCACAGTGATGTATAAACAATCCAGCGATATCTCAGTGATTCATAAATAGTGTAATGATATCACAGCAATCGGCAATAATCTAGCATCATATCAGTGATTCATAAATAATCCAGCGATATCTCAGTGATTCATATATAGTATAGTGATATCACAGTGATTAATAAATAATCCAGGGATATCTCAGTGATTCATAAATAGTACAGTGATATCATAGTGATTTATAAACAATCCAGCAATATCTCAGTGATTCATAAATGGTATAGTAATATCACAGTGATTTATAAACAATCCAGCGATATCTCAGTGATTCATAAATAGTACAGTGATATCACAGTGATTTATAAACAATCCAGCAATATCTCAGTGATTCATAAACAGTATAGCGTTATCACAGTGATCAATAAATAATCACATTTCATCACAACAATCAGAGGTAATCCTGTGATATCACAGTGATCTGTGAATAAACCAGTGATATCACATCGATTTCTAAATAATCCAGACATCATAGTGACAGGTAAATAATCCAGTGACATCATAGTGACAGGTAAAAAAATCCAGTGATATCACAGCTATCAGTAATTATCCAGTAACATCACAGAAGTCCAGGTAATCACAGAATGAACATATTCAGAAAACATATTATTCTTGCACAATACAACTTATAGTTCCTTACAAATATTTTTGAAAGGGAAACACATTCAACTAAAAAATTTCAACGTCTATATATGACATCACTGAACCTTACGCAGCTTATACATACACTCCCACTCAGAACCTACTACCACAGTGCAATTACAGATACCACACTATCTAGGCTGAAAGAAAGCCTCATTTTACTTCGAATCCTTGAAATATGCTAATTTCCTGCAACTATTAATCACCATCAGGACTGGATAACAGAAAACAAATTAAGAACCATCTAAATTATTATTTTTAACATTAAAATAATGACAGGGAACTTTCATACTTAATTTTGACGAGAGATAATAGAAGAATATTGAAATGCTGGTGCTAAAATACCATGCATGAAGGCTGTGGAACTCTTCACTATACACAGTCGCTAGGCTTCTGTTCACCCATGGTTTACCTGATTTAGTACCAGGAAGTGCACCTACCTATCTGATTCAATGTCATATATACATGAATATCTCCGTTGTGCTTGCCTATTTATTATACTTACATACACATACAAGTGACCCTTGAGTCACCCACTGCCGTGATGACACTCTTGTTCATGTCAGGACTCATCGCCTCTTAGTACTACGATTGTCTGTTATCACATCGTAGGTTATCAATCAGTTCTGATAACACTGTCCTATTTTCACCAAAGGTTTATCACATACTGATTAAGGAAGAACATTTTATGGACGTCAACTTTTTTCTTTTTTTCTTTAAGTGGCATTTAGAAGCTGGTATGATGAAGAGGAACACTTTTATGGAGAGACAACTTCTTTATTGCAATATATGTGACGTTTGTATCATTTACTTGATGACGGTGTTAGGATCTACACTGGAAAGTCGCTTCTATTGCAAAAAAGAAGTTGAATATATGTAAAAAGTGTTCCCCTTCAACTTCTTATTATAAGGAACATGTTTCAGAGATGAAGGTGTATTAAAGTATATACTCTGAAACATTGTGATCCTCACCATAAAGAAGTTGACACACATAAAATTCTCTTCCTTTTGTGTATCACTTCTAAATGCCATTCAAAGTCCTATATTCACTAAGATGTGATCTCCACATTTCTACTCTCCTTCAAAGCTTGGGACATTACCATTGAAGCTAAATTACCATTCAATACCATATGTAATCCACTGGTCATAAGTCAAAGGCTAGTGATATTCTGTTCGGTCAAGGAAGCTTGGGTAATGCTTACTCTATACAACATTAAAAACAAACTCTACTGAAAAGGATGTTCAGGATTGTAAATTTATATTTTGAATTACTTTACTACACACAAACTGCCTTAGATATACATCTACAGACAAGGAGAGTAGTGTGCACACTCCCATTTTTGAAGCATACTTAACATAAAAACATTCAGCAAATTAGTCAGTGATCCACTGCTCTTAGAGTATAGGTAAAACAATGCTATGTATATCGTATCTGGCGAATGTTTTCACAAAATTACACAATTACTGAACAAATTTTGCAAAATCACAAACTGTACCCCTTCTGTTATAATTAAAGCTGCACTTGCTTTGGTCTTGCTGGTCAACGGTTTGCCGCTTGCATCCACCAAGTACAAGCACTCAACCCACAAAGGTTATCTTTATGTAAGTGAGGTTGCCATACTGCAGATCACATGCCCTATCTGAATATGCTAATATGATTAACCGGTTTGGTCATGTGGTCATGGCAGTGATACTTGGATAAGGAAGTTGTTCAAATCTATAAATTGACTGGATATTTTTATAAGATATATCTATCTCAAGTTTAATAGCTTTGCGCAATTTTGAACAAATTGCCTAATTACTCCATAGAGAGAGAGGAGAGAGAAGGGGGAGAAAGAGAGGTAGGTTTTACGCCACATTTAGCAATATTCCAGCAATACCACAGTGAGTGACACCAAAAATAAGCTTCACACATTGTACCCATGTGGGGAATCAAACCTGGATCTTTGGCTTGACAATTGAATTTAGCAATATTCCAGCAAGTGACACCAAAAATAAGCTTCACACATTGTACCCATGTGGGGAATCAAACCTGGATCTTCGGCTTGACGAGTGAACGCTTTTACCGCGAGGCTACCCCCCTGCCCTAGACCTACATGAGGTGGCTGGGGGTATCTGATGCGGAAAGATTTCCGCCTGTAACCCCCGTATTTTTTTAATCATTATATGACTAAGAATATATGCCTATGTTTTTCATAAACAACCTATACCTAGCCCTAAACACTAACCCTAAAATCTAACCCCAAACCTAACCCTAAACCCTCGAAGTAATCCTAATAAATAGAATACATTTCAAGCGGGGGTTACGGGCGGAACTCTTACCTCTGATGCAAAGCATGCGACACTTACCTTTGGGGGCTGTGATGGAGGTAGTGGTGGTGGCGACTCTACCCCCATGTCGTCCTCCCCCATGTCTAGGAGGTCTTCGAAGGGGTCTCGCACCGGTGTAGACATGTCGATAACTATAAGCCTCCCGTCTTGTAAGTCATGTGCATTCTGTATAAGAAGCTAGTTATTAGTAAAAGAAAAGTTCATTCTTAGTGCATGTTACTTAATTTGGTAACAGATCCATATCTAGGTTGCCATTCAAGAGGTGAGAATATATGTACAGTGTATGTAAACATGTCCAATGAAATGAAGTCTACCCACAATAAAAATAGATTGCTATGGATCTGCTGGAAATGAACAAAGCAAATTCACTGAACTGTGATGTCAACATTAAGTGTCATGGCTAATGTTGACATCATACATAAATTCTAGTTGTAAGATAGCCGAGATTACAAAGAGGCTGAGCTGAGTTTAAGGTGTACATTAAAAACTTGCAAACACTCTCAAAAGATCTACATATCTGATTTTGCATTGTATTCAAATAAAACATCTCACGAACAACTCTCATTGAGATAACAATCCTAATATTTTCGTAATAGATAAGCGATAACTGGTCATATATCATAAGGTTTCACGAGCAAAACAATAACCAGAGATGTCATTGTGATTGCTTGCCAATCTCAGGTGATGGGAGGGGTGAATTTGGCTCCGATCCAAGTCCATGCGAAACGTTATGTCGGTGATAACATCGATCTAAGTCTTTAAACCTTCAAATAGGAAACATGAACACAAACGAAAAACACCTTAGGCTAGGATTTTGACATATCAGCGATGGAATTCGACTAATTCTTCGCCTCCTTTTCAGACTCAGTCCGTCAACAAGCTTTGAAACTCTCAGTCAAGCGATGTCACAAGCGGTGACATCAGGCTTGGACGACTAAAAATATAGTCCGGTCAACTCCGCATATTTACAAGTTTAAAATGGCGTGGTGTGAGACCCTGCGATATATGTAGCTGCTTGTTGTGTAAATTCCCCAAACTAAATTACGTTGGCCGGAGTTGATGTGTTGTCATTTGTCAACGATCGTTGTCTCTTACCTGCAAGCGCTGTGCTACTAGTGTGACGACACGCTCTATATGTGGCGCGCTCAATACGATTATTCACTGTCCCAACAATCTAACAACAAACTGTCTGCTGTAGATGTTTCCGATTGTTTTGTCCTATACCGTGTAGATCATACAGATATCAACATGAGATTTCAATGGTATTATAGGTTTCAAACGACGAAGACATGACTGGGCAAGTTAGAATGCATATGCATCTTGAAATGTGATTGCTGCCCTTTGAGTCAGTATTTGAAAAGGGGTATTATTACATTAGAAGATGTATGCAGCCCAAAGGTTAGGACGGGTCATCTGATCTTATCACAATAAAATTATTATTTCATGCCCTGACGTCACCTTGATGACGTCACTAGACCAGCACCGAGTCGTTTTACAGCATTTTGCCCGTCCCGTTCGCTCCACTTCTAGCACGTACGTGCGGAGTGTTGCAAATACTGATCTGCGACAAGTTGGGGAAGGTTCATTTTCTAATACATTAAGGGGGGTAGTTAAAGAAATGGTTTCTACAGCATAAGAACAGCTAGTACAATCAGAGCGTCTTGGGTACAATCAACAATGGATAAATATATTAGAACTGCACCGTAAATATAAAAAAGTTCCATAACTGCGCGGTTGTCCACAGTGTCCATGTTAAGATATTATTTATCACCAAATTCATTTTATTGGAAACCTTCGAAAACATTTCTGAGAGTATCTAGAAGACAACATTTAGAAACTGTCATTCAACAAATAATCAGTAAAAAAGACTCTTTAAATGATGATGATGGTGGTGATGGGGATTGGGGGATTTAACGTGTGTTTTCCGACTAAAATGCGTATTTCAAGCCATCGAGAGAGGGGTGATTTGATCGAAAGATGTGACAAACTGATGGGGGCGTCGGGTTGCATGAACTAAAATGTGCATGAATTATAAATTATACAAATTTAAATCTTTAAATGTCAAAGCATTCTGACCATATACTCTATTAATGTCAAAGCATTCTGTCCACATTTCATTATACAAGTTGACACTGAAATAGATTACCTGTCATAATGTATCCCGCTGACCAGGTCAGTAGTAGTTGAAGATCTATCATTACACGAGAAATGTTGTCACTCTACACGCATTGTCCGTTGAGTAATGCCCCAACATGGGGTCAGATGGTTTAGCTTTGTCCAACTTTACAGTAATGAGGTGACACCCCAACCCTCTCAATCCCAAGGTAACCGGACAAACTCCACCCGGACAAAATCCACCCCAAAATTGCCACCCCGGACAGAATCCATCTCTTCTTAACAGAAAAATGGACAAAATCCACCCTTCTCAAATTGCTGTAGTTAAAAGTTTTAGTGTGTCCTGATCAAGATGTTTTTCTCAAGCATTGCAAGCATTGTTTTGATAGCATTTACGTTTTCCTAATTGGCTGTTGTTCCTAGATGTTGTTTCAAACATTAACCATCTGCCAGTGGTACAAAATGTTAGGACTGAAATAACGAAGTCAATGTACGCATGTATATTTTGTCTTATAATCCTAATTAGTTTATTATCATATTTGTATGCATTTTGAAACTTAATAAAATGCACACGATCTGCTTATACTTAGTGAATTTATAACATGGCTGTAATACCTAGTGTATCATATTTCACACACACGCCCTAAGTGCGATCTAGTGTATATTGTCTGTCTCATTACCTTTCACGGCAAAAAAATGATTCTGTTGAATGCCATAACAAATTGATTAAAACAAAATGCAAATATTAAAATTAAAACAGACTAAAGTTATAGCAACAATATCAGGCTATTACCTTGTTAGGGGAATGTATCCATCAATATCCACATAAAGTAATGAGATGCCATTTATCTGCAGCTGACAAAGAATCCTGTTCCATATGTCATGTGTCTTTTAACGGTCTAATATGCGAAAAAGTTATCTATAGTTTCAGGTTTTTCACATTGGTGTATCACATTGGTCACCCAAGATAGCACACCTGGCAAGTAATTGCATGATGTCCGCCATTAGTTAGCCAATATTGAGCTACCAATCAAGGTTTTGGCGGTTAATCCTTTGAAGGAAGGAAGTTGTTTTTACAAAGAAACTTTACGACAGGGTGTATTCAATATAGATTAGTGAATCTACATACATAAACACTACCTTTTGACAAATCCGCTGTGCAGGATAAAAGCAATTAATCAATCAGCGTGTTATCGGTTAATCCTTTGAACGATGTTTGTTTTGAAACTCAGCTGATAATTCCTCTTGCTGCACTTCCATGCGCATATTACATAACATGTAATACATTTGCCACATCAGACCTAAATTTATAATGATGAGTATTTACTTCTGACACAAGAAATGCCAAATGGGAACCTTTGTCGTGTAATCTGAGTGGTGTTATCACTAATTATACCTGTTATAAATTCATTGACTGACCATCAAGTGAATGATGACAAATAACATGTGTAGATTTACAACCAAACAAGGGTTACAGCAAGAGAGTAGTAATCGCTATATTGCATGCAAGTTTGATTGTCTGAAAAAGCCCTTATGGGCAGACACTGTTTTGACGATACGAACGGAACGAACTTCATTGTTACATGAGAAATATATGTAAACATTTGCTGTGTACTGTATATATACCTATATACCTAAGTAGAATTTCAGATTTTTATAGCAATGGCAAAGTGGGGTTGTTTATGGATTCAAATATATCAAATGTGTTTTTTTTATATCATAGCATACGTAATAGACATCACATTTTTACATGATTAAATATCAAGGTAAAATCACAGAAATAGGATCAAATTGGATCAGTCACTATACCATCCAAACATTTGTAAATCTGAAAATGCCTGCACTGCTGGGATAACGTATAACGCAATAGGATGGACTATATATGTTACACTGGATAATCGACAATCCGTTAAGTGAGTGAGTTGAGTTTTAAAGCTGATTCCGCGTGTGACAAAATATTGGCATCATGAACACACAGTATCTGGACATTCATAGTTAATAAGTTTTAACAAGAACATAACGCTCTCTGCTTCTTCAATTAGCTATAAAATAACATGTTGGGATAATTAAGCTCATCCATACCTATTTACTTGAACGTGTGTGTTCAATTTTTTAAAATAATTTGTTTGGTGTAATATTCTGCACGCCGCATATAGCTGGACTGTTGCTAAGCGCGGCGTAAAACTAAACTCACTCACTCACATGATTCGGGTGGCATTTTAGAAGTTGAGACGTACAATACGGGACAAGTTTTTATGGATAACAACCGTGACCAAGGATACTTCATTCCATCAGCTCATGATCCACTCCTCCACCAAGCCCAATCTATTGTATAAACATCGCACCTATTGTATAAACATCTCCTTCATTGTACCACTCCTGTATTTATACATCTCTGGCTTCCATTCACTATCCTTTGTGTACTCACTGGCTTCATCAGCTTTCAGCTTACTGCTTAACCATTATGGCAATTATGTTGTTTCCTTTGTCAATTACAATGTATGTAGTTTCATTGTTATATACAGTATAAATAAGCAGCTCCTCCACTTCATGTATCACTCTTGCTTGACAACGGTACAAGAATCTGTATCGAAACGTCGCACTCACGAAATAAAGAAGTTGTTATCCATAAAAACTTGTCCCAAACAATCACTTAGTAATAAATTATATATTTTATTAAGGCAGGGTTATTAACAAAAATACATATCTTTTCTAGTGACATATAACAGTCTATGTAGAACATTTATAGAGCTTACGTCCTATAGTGTCCAAGATTTCACATTTGACGGTCATAACCCTGTCATTCTGTACTGCTTTCTGTAGAGTATGGTGGAGTATTCTGTAGAGTATGGTCAACACGACTGTGATAGGGCCGTTACGGTGATGAAATTATACACCGCCACAGTGTCTCTGCCGCAACATGCAGTCTTTTGCCTATTACATATTCTTTAAACATTCTGAAATATTTGACTGACAAATTTCATTCAATCATCTTTCAAAGTAAACATATAAAACTGGCTACTATTAAAATTGTCACTACCGTTATTTCATGTCCTCTGGTATTGGTAGGAATTAGTGACCCTTTGTATGGACAATATGGACGTGTCACATATGTAAATATCACACGCTGTTTGATACCAGACTCAGCAATATCCCAGCTATATGACAGCGGTCTGCGAATAATCAAGTCTGAACCACAAAACCCAGTGATTGACATCATCAGAATCGATCTGCGAAATTGGGATACGATGACGTGTCAACCAAATCAGCAAGCCTGACCGCCCGATCCCGTTAGTCACCTCTTACAACATAATGTACATATGAATGGTTCGAAAATGCGTTGCCTTAAAAGGCCAGTATAGAAAGCAATATTCAACACGTTTTTGTGAGTGAAACCCATTCAGACCAAACAGGGAGCGTTTAGACCTCAATACTTATATGATTTATGGTGAACTGAGAAATCCCATTTACGTATGGAGCAATTCTGGTAACAATGGTTATGCATGACTGAACAGTTTTCCCAATAAAACGTGTACACATACATGAATACCTGAGTGAATACCTTGCTATTTCCTTCATCAAACAGGGAAATAAAACACAGAGAGAGAGAGAGAGAGAGAGAGAGAGAGAGAGAGAGAGAGAGAGAGAGAGAGAGAGAGAGAGAGAGAGAGAGAGAGAGAGAGAGAGAGAGAGAGAGAGAGAGAGAGAGAGAGAGAGAGAGAGAGAGAGAGAGAAATAGCTACTGGCCCGCTAGCCAAGCTAGCTGATTGTGAATCAGGCCAGTAGTGTATGTATTAGATTCTTGAGAGGCATTTAGGCATTTAGAAGTTGGTGAATATATAAGACGAGTATATGGATGGCAGCTTCTTGTTTATTGTATATGAATGACAACGTTTCTGGGCTACTTCTTGCCCCTTCTTCAGGTGATTTAAGACAGACATATATTGTTAAAGATATTGCGACTGGCTCTTTATTTAATGCACATGAATATGATAAAGTCAATTATTAAGGTGAAAAATACGTCCGCAAATGTTTCGTGATATTTCTTATCTTTGTCACATAAAGATCGTTACATAAAAAAATGATAATAGCGTTGTGCAAAAGAGGCGACAATAACTTACCATCTTCAGTTACCAACATCACACCAATTCTGACCGATGTGCATTTTGATATTGATATTTTGCGGGACCGATGAAGTATGATGTGGGCTAGCAACATTTTTACTTAGCCCTCCTGGTCACTGTGTTTCAAAATTAATTCATACACTGTACGCACATACTTCATATATTTATATAGTCCAGTGTTTCATGGTTTGTGATATTAAAAGATGTTGTTGAGTATAATATGCGAACCCACATCAGATATGGAATACCGTATAAAGTATGTTTATTTATTACCTACGAGTAGGCGAACATATCGGGGTTAATATTTTTCATACGATGCCCTAGGGCAAAATATCACTCTGGCATAGTGACGTGACGTCATGAACAATGCTATGACGTCACGTTTTTTTCTGTGACGTTGCGTTCTACATGCGGCGACGGCGGGTAGACAGCCTGTTTGAAAGCAGATTTGGGTTAATTTTCAATTTGACGACTTTGGTAATAAACAGAATATTATATTCGTGTCCATATCATACTATGTTTACGACACTCGTGCCTAAATATCGGTATATCCCTCGCTCTCGCTACCAACATTTAGGCACTCGTGTCGTAAACATAGTATGACATGGACACTCATATAATATTCTCTATATCAAACACGTTTATAACGAGCTGACGGTTATAACTAACTGTTGTTTTTTTATCGCGCAACTTGGTATACTTTTTATCGAACGAACGAACTAAGTTAAAACGAACTAAAATTAGTGGTCCTTCTGATTTCGTTATTGCCGTAGTTAATTGAATATGTGCCTACCTTGTCCCCCTATGTGTTATGTACGAATTAATGCCGTGCATTAGTGAGTGAGTGAGTGAGTATGGTTTTACGCCGCTTTTAGCAATGTTCCAGCAATATCACGGCGGGGGACACAAGAAATGGCCCTGCATTAGTGCTGATGTATGCAAACATATGCACGTATAATAAAACTTACTGGTGGCGGGGTAGCCCGATGGTTAAAAGCTTCCGCTCGTCACGCTGAAGGCCCGGGTTCGATTCCCCACATGGGTACAATGTGTGAAGCTCAATTATGGTGTCCCCCGCCGTGATATTGCTGGAATATTGCTAAAAAATAAACCCACACTACATTCCTGTCACGCCATTAAACATTAGAAAAGAATTAAAAAGAGATGCGAAATGGAATATCATTTAGCTTTATACATGTATATTCAAACATGAACACATTATAGAGATTTACATTGCTGTTGATAAACGAAATATACATGTAAAATACCATCAACTGGGTCATTGACATAATTGTTACTTTTAGTATATTTCCTGTATATTAGACCCGTGAAGATCTGCGATATTGATCTTCAGTAACCCATGCTTGACGTAAGAGGCGACTAACGGGATCGGGTGGCCAGGCTCGCTGACTTGGTTGACACATGTCATCGGTTCCCAATTGCGCAGATCGATGCTCATGCTGTTGATCACTGGATTGGCCGGTCCAGACTGGATTATTTACAGACCGCCTCCATAAAGCTGGAATATTGCTGAGTGCGGCGTAAAACTAAACTCACTCACTCCTGTATATTATGAAAAATATGATGTATTTATCGAGTGTTATCCGTGTCACCGTTTTCAATCATAGTCACAAAGAACCTGATCCCTCAACCTTCCACGTATGGCATTGAAATGTAGATATATTTATTTGTTATAAAGAGCAAGCAACTATTTTCACAATCAAGATAAAAGAGATGCGAAATGGATATCATTTAGCTTTATACATGTATATTCAAACATGAACACATTATAGAGATTTACATTGCTGTTAATAAACGAAATATACATGTAAAATACCATCAACTGAGTCATTGACATAATTGTTACTTTTAGTATATTTCCTGTATATTAGAACCGTGAAGATCTGCGATAGAATATTGATCTTCAGTAACCCATGCTTGACGTAAGAGGCGACTAACGGGATCGGGTGGTCAGGCTCGCGGACTTGGTTGACACATGTCATCGGTTCCCAATTGCGTAAATCGATGCTCATGCTGTTGATCACTGGATTGTCCGGTCCAGGCTCTATTATTTACAGACCGCCGTCATAAAGCTGGAATATTGCTGAGTGCGGCGTAAAACTAAACTCACTCACTCCTGTATATTATGAAAAATATGATGTATTTATCGAGTGTTATCCGTGTCACCGTTTTCAATCATAGTCACAAAGAACCTGATCCCTCAACCTTCCACGTATGGCATTGAAATGTAGATATATTATTTGTTATAAAGAGCAAGCAACTATTTTCACAATCAAGACTGACTGACTGACTGAGTTTGGTTTTACGCCGCTTTAAGCAATATTCCAGCAACATCACGGCGGGGGACACCAGAAATGGGCTTCACACATTGTACCCATGTGGGGATTCGAACCCGGGTCTTCGGCGTGACGAGACAACGCTTCAACCATTAGGCTACCCCACCGCCCCTCACAATCAAGAAGAAAGTATAATTAAATAATAATAACATGCGTAAAAATCAGATTTGTCATATTAGGACACATGAGCATCAGTAATGAATTTTCGATAACATACACAGAAAGATGATACGTCAATATTTCTAATAACGCCGTTGCCATATTTTTGGCAAGAGATCGAATACATTTTTGTCATTTTGCCGACTCCTTGCAGAGTGGATGACAGTTACTCCCCTTTACTTATTGTGCACATACAACATTTTTATGTCTTTTATTAATTCTATAAATATCAGCACATATTTTTTAAAAAATGATATATTTACATTTAATTTAAAGCTATCACTTCTTTGACTCCAAGAGGTTGCCAAAACCACAGGGGCTTGTAACGCTAAAAACTGCCATCAAGGCATATACTATCACTGACGGGGTCTTAGTACTGATGTCGTGTTAGATGAACGTCGCTGTGAGGAGCAACAACACATAGCGCCATCTGTTTCCTTCGAAAAACGTGCTTGGATCATCAAAACAGGACAAAAAGAAGATTGTAGCACTTTGTACGGGGGACATTTTAAAGGAGGTTACAGGGAACATAAACCATGTAAATATACACATATTACAGGTAATATTGTTTTGTTGGTTATGAGAAAAGTTTGGAAACGTTACACGTTTTCTCAACTTCGTATGATTTCCCGCCATGTTCTCTGTGAATGAGGCTCATTCAACAGAAATATAAGTTACCGCAATTGCTTGTTTTATAGTTATTGCGACATAATTTAATATGTGTGATGATGTTAAGATGTTGTCTAAATTGGGTCTCGACGGAATTTAATCTTTTTATCTCGTATCATGTGACTGTCTGTTGTGGGTTGTTTACCCCGAATGTATTGACATTGTGACCTGTGCCGACGATATGGGTATGCCATGGTGCATTTTTATGATTTAAGAAAGGTACCTGGTTTAAGTTCTATAGTACCTTTGCCGACAGACCTAACATCACAGATTAAGAGATGCCCCTAGGTTTGCTTTTTTTGTTTTATGTATTTATGCTGAAGGGGTCGTTGTCGGCACTACAGATGATGTCAGATATATACAGAAACGTAACCTGGCCAAACTCAGAATACAGAAACGTACCCTAGGTCGATTCAATTCCCACTGTGTTGTATTCTTGATCGGAACTGTCATACTGTTGTATTATATACATTTGATTGCGTTATATAAGTAATGGGAATACACAGTAACGGGAATGCACACAGCAATTAGTTGAACTGGAACAACTGTATATGGTGTCAGTTTTAGATTGCAGAATATGGACTCTTCCTCCATTTAGGGTACCGGGTACGTTTCAGTATTTTGACTTTGTTTAGGGTACATTTCTGTATACAAGAACGTACCTGTGACGCGACCCCTTCAGCTGTAATCACTGTCGCTGAAGGGGTCGTTGTTGGCACTGGTACTACAGACATGTACCCCAGGTACGTTTCTGTATACAGAAACATACCCTAACCCAAATCTGTATACAGAAACATACACTAGGACGGGTTCATTCTTCTTTGTGCCGCTTTCTTGATTGGAACTGTCATACTGTTGTATTAGATACATTTCCAGGCGTGGAAATAACTTTAAAATTGATAGTGTACTCCGTTACTGTGGCACATGTAAAATCACTAGCCCTGATAAGTTTTCCACTATGCCGGACGATTTTCTGGTTGAATTTTTAAATAAGCAACATAATTAACACTGGAAGTCAACTGGACACTGGTACAGCATGATATACAAATTTGCTTGCCCGACAAAAAAGAAACACTGGACTGGGATGTTGGGCAATGAGTTATTTCTACCCCTGATTTCACGGAGTTATATAAGAAATGAGCATTTACGTTGTTTACCGTAACAAATATTTCACGATACACTATACGACTTGCAGTGAAGTTGAACGGGAAAAACTACATACAGTTTCAGTTTTGGGTTTTGGAATATGGTTACGGGAACAAATTATGATTTTGTTTAGGGTACATTTCTGTATACAGAAACATACTATGGGTACATCTCTATAGCACCCATTGCTCAGTCCTAGAACTGAAGCATTGAAGATTCTACAGAGCTCCAGATAAGATTTAGCTCATGTGGGTACTGTACCCACTGTATTTTTGAGTGGGTATTATGAATGTTGAGTGGGTATTTCCGTTACCCACTGCTTTCAAATATGTGCATATTTCAGTCATTTTACTCACCTAAGTGTTATGTCATTGAGTAAGTTTACTAAGCAGGTATGTTCTGCCTTATGTCATACCTAATCAAAACCAACTTAAATATAATCAATGGAAATGATTTCATAAAAAATCACTCACCCTAAACTGACAGTACAACACTAGTCCTATACTAACAGTACAACTTGATAGCAGTCGATGTCTTTTTCATTACGCAAACACTGTTTATAAGTATATTCATACGCATTTGTTTTAAACTTGTTGCGTATCCAACATTTTAAATGCCTAATTGGTACGCAACATTTATTTTTCAATGCGTAATTGGAAATTTTATATTTGATTTTACCCGGATACGCAGCTTATCTGGGCCTCTGAGTCTACATCAAACAGAAGTGTTTTTGTCTTTTCGAGATCGTACAAACAGATGGGAATTTCTGTTTAGAGGGGTCTCATGAGGATTGCCATTTTGGTGTTTTGTTTGCAGGCAGTGAAGGCTGGAGCTGATCCTGTTCATCCAGAAGCATAATTTGTTAGCAGTTGGAACAGTGTGACATTTCTGCCCTCAACATGAGTGATATTCAAGAATACCCAGATGTTGTCCAGGAATTCAGGGGACATCTTGTAAGTCACCAGGGCAGCAGGGCTCCAGATATGTGTTTAAGCCCTAAGCCATTATTTACCTGTGTTAACATTGAGTAATACTGGGTATTTGATTGTATTTTAAGGGAATTTAAAACATTATTACTTATGTGGAGTACATTTGATAGCTCTGATCGTTACCCTACTCAAGGGGGGCGGAGTGGTAGCTTAATGGATAAAGCATCTCCTCGTCACCCTGAAGACCTGGGTTTGATTCCCCACATAGGTGCAATGTGTGAAGCCCATTTCTGGTATCCCCTGCCATGATATTGCTGGAATATTGCTAAAGCCATACTCACGCACTACGCTGCTCAAGTGCTGTACTCCCAGATTACTAAACAATTTTGACAGATTATCACATAGATTTGATAGACTGGTTATGCTTGGTTGTGTCCGATGACAAAATTGGCTTGAAGGAAACCTGTGTTAAATAATGACTCCAAATTTGATTTTAAAATATTTCAGTTGGTATTCAAGCATCAGCATGTTTCTGTCCGTGTTACTCATGAAGAAATTCAGTGAACTTGCTCAAAGCAGGCTTAAGCCAAACCAACCCACTTACTCACTCTTACTTTGACCGCCTCCGTGGTGTAGTGGTTAGAGCGTCCGCCCGGAGAGCGGAAGGTCGCAGGTTCGATCCCCGACCGTGTCATACCAAAAGACGTTAAAATATGGTACTTTTGGTCCCTGCCTGGCTCTCAGTATTAATGGGTACAACAAGGACTGGTCGGCTCGGAGTCAGTATAATGTGTCTGAGTGGGGTATTCATGCGTCACTGTGGCATGGTATCTCAGTGGGCTAGCACTATAAAACCATCTTTAAGTCTGGGCTAGTACAAGCAGCTGCACATACACATACACGCATGCACGTCGTCATATGAGTGAAATATTCTCAAGCACGACGTTAAACCCAATTTCACCTCACCTGACCTCACTCTTACTTTAGATATGAGTTTCGATAGCCTAGTGGTTGAAGCGTTATCTTGTCACGCAAAACCTGTGTTCGATTCTCCACTACAATGTGTGAAGCCCATTCCTGGTGTCACTGCCCTATTATTGCTGAATATTACTTAAAGCGATGTAAAACTAAAACTCACTCACTATCTTTGACTGAATGTTTCAGAACCCTGGTCGTCTAAAACTGCAGAGTAACAGTGTCATCTTCAAGAACACCAAGACCGGTAAGGTGGACCAGTACCAGAGCAGTGACATCACCAAGGCAGAGTGGCTGAAGCGTGCTCGAGGTTATTGTCTGAAGATCAAGCTTAACAATGATACAATCCACAGATATGATGGCTTCAAAGAAACGGTGAGTTTCATCTTTGCATAGAGGGCAGTGAATACTGTCATAATTGATCATTGCCACATTCCTGCTGTCAGCATATATACATCGCCAGTTTAAAGATTTCAATTGTGCCCCCTGTTTTAATTCATGGTTAGAGAAGGGCAGATTAAGGGATAGAGTTGTAAGGCACCATTTCTTGTTTGATTGCGTGTCATTGGACTCTATGCTCATAATATCAATCACTGGATTCAGTGGATCGTTCAAGACACTAATATTTATATGTAAGTATAATATTGTTCAGTGTGATGTTTTCAAACAAACTCATAAACATGTTTCTACAACTAGTATCCAGTATATTGATGTTGATGCTTTCAGTCCCATCAATGACATATTGCCACAAGAGTTGTGCAAGGTGAAGGTCATGCTCAAGGGGAGATTATCTATCTTCATGATGATTTCATTAAGTTTCATCGAACATGTAGCTGAAACAGTTGTATGGAGAGATAGCAACCATTACCTTGCTGTCATAATAGATTTTGCATAAGTACACGATTTGTCATATTTTTCATGCGTAAAATATCATAATGAGCAAATGGTTGATGGACCAGTGACTGGGCTTTGAAGAAACAACTATGTTGTTAATGACGACAGTATGAAAAATATCACAGTATCTAGTGATTGTAAGGAATCTTGATTGTCATTCATCAAAACTTTAAACATTATCTTATTTTGGTAGGATTTCGAGAAGCTGTCTGGTTTTGTGTCCAACTTCTATAATACGTCATTGGAGAAGGTGGATGTCTCATTGAAAGGCTGGAACTATGGCATAGCCCGTTTTCTAGGTACGATTTTATATATTTATGTTTTATATTTTATAATGCCACACTAAGCAGTATTATAGCTATATGGCTGCCATCAGTAAATAATCAAGCCTGGACAATTCGGTGACCAATAGCATGAACATCAATCAACGCAATTGGAATACAATGGCTTGTCCCAGATCCCATTAGTCGTCTCTTACAACAAGCATGGATTGCTGATAGGGCTGTAATAATGCTATTGGTGGATTGCAGTTGTTGAGTCTCCGATTGCAATTAATCGATGGTAGAAACGAAAACTATTGATGCATCGATAGTATGTGTGACTAACGGTAGTTCTGTAATTGACTTCCGTTGATAAATGCGCAGCGCAAAATACAGGAAGTACCAGATTCGTTCACTTTGATTTAGAATTATCCGCCCCTGTTACCTTTTAAACAAACTTGATTAAAAGAGACTGCAACTAATTCAGCTTGTTTTTAGTTCATATGAACCATACATTCATTTGGGAAATGACTTCAAATCAGACAATTCAAGGAGAGAAAAACTATTGCAATAATAGTGCAATAGTTGGTCGCAATAGACTATCACTATCGCAATAGTTGTTTCACCCTCAGTTCTAACCAGGATCTTCATGGGTCTCGGTGGGACATGATGCAAAAAGTGTACATTGTCGCTTTATTGAATCTGATCATGTGCATGATGTATGTGAGTCTATAGACGTCTATATGGGCTGAGTGCCTTTCTGTATCATATTGTTTGTTTGCTGTTCAACGCCGCACTCAGCAATATTCCAGCAATATGGTGGCTGTTTGAAAATTATCGAGTCTGGACCAGACAGTCAAGTGAACAACAGCATGAGCATCGATGTACGCAATTGAGATCTCAAGGCATTGCCTTGATGTATGTAGTGTGAAAATAGTTCCAACTTGATGTCCTCATTTGCATATTTAACGGTTTCTGATTCCAAATTTATTGGATTCAGTGTCAGATTGGTAACCCATGCCTTTTAACAATAAACCTTTTTCTCAAAGAGATCAAAGATTGTTGGTATAAATGTGGAATATGAATATACTTTCAGGTAACGCCTTGACGTTTGAAGTGGACAAGTCCATGTCATTTGAGGTCCCACTGACAAACGTATCGCACTCAACAACGGCGAAGAATGAGGTGACTTTGGAATTTCACTTGAATGACGACGCAGCCGTCTCGCTTACAGAGATGCGATTCCACATACCTGCTGACGCCAACCGGGACTCCGAGAATGATCCTGTACAGGTATTCTGGGGCAGTGGGGTAGTCCAGTGGTTAAAGCTTTGCTCGTCACGCCGAAGGTCCGGGTTCGATTTCCTACATCACAATGAGTGAAGCCTATTTCTGGTGTTCCCTGCCATGATATTGCTAAAAGTGGCATAAAACTTAACTAACTCAGTATCCAGCATGTCAGACCAAATCCAGAACGTTTTCCAACATTAGAAGATCTAGGCTGGTCCATCAAGACTTACAATTAATGGCTTTGTCCTGCCAATGTATTCATTTCTCACGGACCATCTTTAAATGTCAAACGATGTATTGTAACTTGGGCCTGTAGCCTGATTACTGAAAATTTAGTGAAATAAAACTATTGCACCAGTCTCAGGGACCTGAAATTTTTGTACTTTGAAACACTTGTAATTTCTCATTCACAGACAGGCCTGTATGGTTGAGTGAGTTTGCGAATATGGTTTTACGCCATTTTTAGCAATATTCCAGCAACTACAAGATGAGAACCCACGATGATAACAAAATACTGTTCAAAGTGGTTGCATGCATTTGAAACCTACTGACTCACCCACTTCATTAATTTTCAATAAAAATGTACATCTCTGAAGTTATGGTACTGCCATTAGACTTGCAGAGTTCATAACATTGTGATGTCATCAAGTACATGACGTCATAGCATTGTCAGGGGTACATCTACTGTCAGGCGATATCTGGAGAGATATCGTTTGATCTCACACCAAGCGATATCTCCTGTGGAACACAGTTTTGGATGATAAAACAAAATAATGTTCAAAGTGGTTGTATGCAAAGGCTGACTCATATCGATCTCCTGCAACAGTTGTAGTTATACGCAGGTGTTGTTTCCAGGAGTTCTACAAGAATGTGATGGAGAGTGCGGACATCATCCAGGCAACTGGAGAATCCATTGTCACCCTACAAGAAATCCAGTGTCTTACACCAAGGTGAGAAGGCTGTAGTATATGAAGCAGAAAACCAGTATATGAACCCAGACAAGCTGCTCGCCATGAGGACCCAGAACCATAAACAGTTGTGGGTCCTGATCAGAATGTGTAGGCCCTTTGTTTTAGCTACAATATAAGTACTTCCCAGCAAATAAAACGTGTGACAACTAACAAACTGAGTTAAAGAATGCTTAACGGGACACGGATATGTCAGCAGACAGAATCCCAGTTATTGGGGATGGAAAAGCTGTCGGCCATAAGGACCTGCAGAAAACAAAAGCTGTGGGTCCAAGTGGTTTCAGTCAGCTTTGGACCAAAGTACCAATGTTAATGTCTATCGCTGATCTGAAGGTGTCCATTTATGATTAGGTTACAACAGTAACATTTCCAGGGTAAAAATGTCCACCTGGAGAGCAGGTCAATGGCTTGATTTCTGTCATAAGACATTAAGGGGGGTGGGCTAGCGTAGTGGTTAAAGCGTTCGTTCGTCATGCCGAAGACCCGGGTTCGATTCCCCACATGGGTACAATATCTGAAGCCCATTTCTGGTGTCCCCCGCCGTGATATAGCTGGAATATTGCTAAAAGCGGCGTAAAACTAAACTCACTCACTCACTCATAAGACATTATACTATGATGCTTATTGTTACATTCCCTGGCAGTCAGCACAAAGGGAATACAGCAATGACTTGTTAGCTTGAAGGGAGTCAGTTTTCAGTGTCTGAATGGCTTGTACATGTTTAACTGAGGCAAGGTATCTCATGGGCTAGTACATGAACCAGACTAGTACAAGCAGCCATACTCATATGCAAGCTTGGTGCTATATTTCGCCACAGCTGTCAACACTGAATGCCATTTCACCTCAGTTGGTATTTGAGGTAATAAATCAGTTGCTGTACACATGTGAAAATATATGTTTTCTGTTTTCAGAGGTCGTTATGACCTGAAGATGTACCCGACGTTCCTGCAGTTGCATGGTAAAACCTTCGACTACAAGATACCCTACACCACAGTTCTACGTCTCTTCTTGCTCCCTCACAAGGATGGAAGACAGATGTTCTTTGTGGTAAGTAGAAGCACTTAGACTTGCTAGAAGAATACAGGTGCAGCTGATGTAGCAATACTCACATACATGAGGCGGTGGGGTAGCCTAGTGGTTAAAGCGTGCCCTCATCATGTCGTAGACTTTGGTTCAATTCCTCAAATGGGAACAATGTGTGAAGCCTTTTTCTGGTGTCATCCGCCGTGATATTGCTGGAATACTGCTAAAAGCGGTGCAAACCCACTCACTCACTCACTCACTCACTCACTCACTCCTCTAACTCTTTCCAAACTCTAATATTTGTAATCTTGTATATTTGTTTGTTGTTTAATGCCACACTACGAAATATTCCAGCTATATTGCGGCAGTCTGTAAATAATCGTGTCTCAACCAGACAAACCAGTGATCAAGATCATGAGCATCGATCTAGGCAATAGTAGCATGTGTTTTAGTCCCTGTGTGGATTCAATGTTAGAATTGATTCTAATGGGGTATATTCCGTTTTGTATATCTCGCTTTGATAATAAAACACACACACACACACACACACACACACACACCAAATTCTTGGTTGTTTTGGTTAAGTCTTTTTGTCATGTGCACTGATGAGGGAATCTTGTTCTGTTCAGGATTCAGGTATACTGGTGTAGGGGAATAATTTCCTATGGCTGTTGTCAGGGATTCATCTATGCCTGCCCACAGCCCAATATCTTCTTCGTAATCATCCATAAGTTTATTGGATGTTGATTGGGTCACAATGCATGTTGGCCCGTGAAGATCTTCAGTAACCCATGCGTGTCGTTAGAGGCGACTTACGGGAACGGGTGGTCAGGCTCGCTGACTTGGTTGACACATGTCATCATATCCCAACTGCATAGATCGATGCTTGTGGTGTTGATCACTGGATTGTCTTGTTAAGACTCGATTATTTACAGACTGCGGCCATATAGCTTGAATATTGCTGGATGTGGCATAAAACTTAAGTCACTCACTCACAATGTATGTTTCACAGACGTGTTATGTACAGGCAGCTTGTAGCGAAGAGATTCAGTTTCTTTAACCACATGTATCAGTTGCTAAATTCTAAATTTCATGATGAATTTCAACTTGCCACTGATGAAAGATTTGCCTTCAAGAAGAAAAGATTCATTACTTTAAAGAAGGTATGCTATTTTCCAAACACCGTTACTATCCAAGGCACTTATTATATCCCTCATGTGTATTGTGTATGTGCATGTGATAAATATTATAGTTGATTGAGATTGTGTGTATATGGTTGTATGTTACAGGTGAGCCTCGACCCGCCCATCAAACAGGGACAGACACGTTACCACTTCCTTATTCTTCTCTTCAACAAGGATGATGAAATGACGGCCGAACTGAACCTAACAGAGTAGGTGTTACTGGTTTAATGTCTGCTGTTTCATTATCCCCCGCCGCGTGTGAAGCGGGGGATATAGTATTTGGCTCCGTCCGTACGTATGAATTGGAATATCTTAAGAACCATTCACTAGACTCTTTTCATATTTGGTACCTAGGTTCATCACAGTATAAGGAAGGTCCAAGTTAGGTATGGTGACCTTGACCTTCATTTCAAGGTCACAAGGGAACTTTAACGTTTTACCTGCATGTTAATCTATCCGAAGAACCGTTCACTGGATTTTCTTCATATTCAATACCAAACTATCTAGAGAAGGTGCAGGGCCCTTTCGATTTTGGTGACCTTCACGTAATTTTCAAGGTCATGGGGACACTTTGAAGATTTCAGCATGTAAACCTGCATGTTAAGCTATCTCAAGAACTGTTTACTGAATTTTCTTAATGCCAGTTCGCTGACTTGGTTGACACATGTGCTCATGCTGTTGATCACTGGATTGTCTGGTCCAGACTCGATTATTTACGGACCGCCGCCATATAGCTGGAATATTGCTGAGTGCGGCTTTAAACTAAACTCACTCACTCACTATTTTATTATTGATTAATTTACTTCCAGTGAGGACATTGAGAAGAAGTATGATGGCAAACTGACAAGGGAGATGTCTGGACCAGATTATGAAGTGGTCAGCAAAATATTCAAGGCCATCACAACAAGCAAGATCACTGTACCAGGAGGCTTTGTTGGGTACGAAATTACGGCATGTCAAAATAACCATGAACCAGTTGGAGCACACAAAGTCTCCGTCAGATATAACCCATGAAGATCTGTGTTAGAATTGGTCTTCAACAACCCATACTAATCAGAAGAGATCGGGTGGTCAGGCTCACTGACTTGGTTGACACATGTCATCGTAACCCAACTGCGTAGATCAATGCTTATGCTGTTGATCCCAAGATTGTCTGGCCCAGACTTGACTATTTACAGACCGCTACTATTTACAGTTTGTTTGGCTCAAAAGCGGACCGATGAATTGCAATCTAACTCGAAAACTAATAAACATAACATACTCAATGAAACGCTGATCATAATCAAAACATCATACCAACTCTGTGAGGTTTTTGCAGAATTTATGTCCTAAAAATAATAAAGTTGTTTAACAAACTATCATTAAAATATTGACACAGTTCACTGTTTGTTACGAGGGAGGAGTGCAGAGAAAGGGACAGCCAGGTGTTCGAGAAGCACGTTCACAGACAAAGTTATTTATTCATTAACCTGTGCTGTGCCGTCTCCATCCGTTCTCGAACACCTGTTTTGATTATGATCAGTGTTTCATTGAGTATGTTATGTTTATTAGTTTTCGAGTTAGATTGCAATTCATCGGTCCGCTTTTGAGCCAAACGGACTGTAGATGGAATATTGCTGAGTGCTACATTAAACAGCCATCCAACCACTCAGATATAACCAGTTTCAACTTGAATATCCTACTTCTGCGATTACTGGCATCTGTTTTGAAATGTGTGCATTTTTGTTTTGATTTGGAGCAGATGGCTTAAAGAAATTTGATCTTCCATCTTATCTCTAATTAACACTAAAACCTGTTTGTATTTGCAGCCATTCTGGAACTCAAGCAATCGGCTGCTCCTACAAGGCAGCCACAGGGCTGTTGTACCCGCTGGAGAGGGGCTTCATCTTCGTCCACAAACCTCCCATTCACATCAGGTTCGATGAGATTGCTGCGGTCAATTTTGCTCGAAGTTCCGGCAATACAAGGTCATTTGACTTTGATGTGGAGTCCAAGTCCGGAACAGTCTACAACTTTGTCGGTCTTGAAAAGTGAGTAGTTCTAACTTGCATTGATAATTAACTTATTTATGAGACGTATGTCTCCTTGCTTGTATTGCTAAGTTTTTCGGTACTGGGTGACTGGTGTTTGATTCCTGATTGCTTCATACCATATTTAATAGTTCTGGTTGTTGTCCACAATATGCAGATCCATTATTGGAGGTGAGTAATCTGTCTATAGTAGTTTTGGGAATTGGTTAAAGTCTCATAATTGATGATTGCTTCATTACAACCGATGAATCATCGAAAATAATTGGTTAGTGTTATTTATGAAATTTGTTAATGCACACAAAAAATAAGGAACAAACATGTAGTTCTTTGGGGGGTTGGCAAAATTTCAAATCTTTAAAGGATGACAAGTATGTCATAAATTTGTTGGAGTCTTGAAGATAAATTCAATCACGACTTGGAACGAGTTTGTAGTGCTTATGAAATGTAACAGACAAAACCAGATTTGTGAAATATTTTGTTAATGAAAACAAATGTTCCAGAATTGTTTGTGTTCGATTATGAGAAAACATGATCGATTGCTTGGTCGTTTAGTCACTGCGACCAATCTTCGATTATTTCAATAAATCGGACCACCACTAGTCTATAGTCGATTATAATCATAAACCCCTCCTCAAAACTGATGTGGGCAATAGCAGGACACAATCATAACATTGTGCAAATGAAACAGGCACTGATTAATACCATGATCAAGATGACAGAGGATACTTCCTGTTTAGACGCACGCGAGTATGTTGTTTACAGTGCAGTTTTATGTCTTGAGTTAACAAACATTACTATAACAAACACTTTCTAAATTTAAATTGGATCTTACGCTTTTTGTGAATATCGATTATTCGTCCGAGTTGATCAATAATCGCTGACAGAAGTGTGATTATTTTTCCTTATCCTGACTCATGCTAATTATGCTTGTCTCCTTCCTCTTGCGAGAATGATAGTGGAACACTTGAAATCCCTTGAAGTTCCCTTTAAAAAAGCCGACGTAAAATCACATGAACGGTAATATTTGTCACTCTCCCCTTCTTCGCCCTTGAGGATGGTTGTGAGAGCACCTGAGTCCCTATACGGCACATATCCTTTTAAATTTTCGGACCTTACATCAAAATTATTGCTGTATACAGTTTTTAGGATTATATTCTACATTACGGTTTGAAATTTGATCTAAATTTTCCATTGTTTGACATGTGTTTTCTTCATGTTTACATTTGATGAAAACTTGTATTCGTTGTAGGTACCGAGTGTTTGCGGCTGACCCTCATTTATTATGTCCTAATTGCACTGTTTCATGTTCTTTCAGCTCTCGCTGTAAGTATTGTGTTAATTTAAATTCGGTTGAATTTAATAATTACCTTTTTTCCCATCCATAAACGTGCTAAGGACTGGGTACGTAGGTATTCACAAGCCATGTCTAAATCGAGTGATTGCGCTGATAACCATGTGTTAACCACAGCTGCGGATATTCATAATTCTAGTGAATTGCTGAATGTTTCAAAGAAGCAGATGTTTATGATGATCCACCCATCCTCATACCTGAAGTCACCATCGCCAGTAAGAAGACGAAGCCTGCTTCTACAGCTACATCGGCATTGGTATCAGCGCAGACTTTGACAGTAGACCTACTATCAACGCAGACATCGGGTACCAGAGATAGCAGCAGCGTCAACTCTTCACAAGTGTAGCGAGCCTTTGATGACGTCTCTTCAGTATCAGATGCATCATCCCTGCAGCAGTCTCTTCAGACAACGCAGAACTTCAACCCGGGACTGTTCATGCAACAGTTTGCAGACCAGATGATGTCGATGATGGAACGTTGCTTCGCTCAAGAGAAGGCTGCTATGAAGACCGCTACAACGTCTACTAGCCTGCGTGAAGGCTCTACAGTCTCCCCACCACATCTGGATGAAGAGGGAAGCCTGCGCAAAGGCTCTTGGACACGACGGTCTTCCCAATCTGAAGTAGACACCCCAGAGAGTGCTGCTAAGAAGTGTTCACGCAGGAAGGAATCAAGGCGTTCGTCGTACAGACATCGTAGATATGAGTCGTCATCTCCATCGGACTCTGACGCTGGAAGCTACGTCCAGGAATCCACCTTCGCGAAGGCCTAGAGAATTACCTCAAACCTCCAGGAAGTATTCAAGATCACATCGGGATCGATCGCCTGCGCAAAGCTCATCTTATAGATCATCCTATAGAGACTGAAGTCATCGTGCATCCTTAGAGCGAGAGATGTCTAAATCAGAGGATGAAGGTGAAGGCATATTCTCCGATACGGAAATTAACTCCTGGATCGCCAATGGCTTGGACTTGTCATCACTTTCTAAGGACACAGATGAGGTGTTTACCTACAAGATGTCCAAAGATGATTTCGACACACTGACCTTTCCACCGACCAACCCGATCTCTCAAGTACCAGACAACCTCAAGACACCTTTTGATAAAGCCACCAAGTCGCAGAGTCAGCACATCCCGACATTCAACGCCAGGAATTCCCTCTACATAGGGTGGAACCCTTCCTGAAGGCTTCAGAGGTTGATGATGACTACAAGATTATCACCGACTCCCGTCAAAGAACTTACAAGATTGAGGATAAGAAGTTAGCGCAGCTGGATACAACCACCAGACGTACTTTCTTCGGATTAGCCAGATCGAGGGCTGTCAACAAAACACTCATCTCGAAGTTCAAGAATTCCTCGTCCGAAGAAGACCGGATGATATACTCCGCTCTACTTATGCAGAAGAGCTTGCCTGAAGACTAGAGGGTACTCCGCCAGAGCAGCGAAAGCAGTAACACTAGCTCTATGCAGATCAACTCGCAACTTGTACAAGTGGCAGAGATTTGAACAATATGCAAAGAGGAAAGGCTTTACAGCGGTGAAAGCAACACATCTTCAAGTGGCGGAATACTTATGTCATCTACGACAAACGAGACACTTAAAAGGTTCAACACTCTCCACTTACTTAGCTGCCCTCAGTACAGTTTTCACCATGTCAAGCTGACCAAAGTACCAGAGATTCTGGCACTACTACGCTCGTTTAAGTTGGAAGACCAACAAAAGAAATTTAAGGCTCCTGCCTGGGATCTCAACATGTTTTACAACATCTCCCCACAGATGCTTACGAGCCTCTAGAACGGACATCCTTTGAACTACTAACTCAGAAAATGCTGTTCCTGATCGCCCTAGCAACAGCTGCAAGGATGTCAGAAATACATGCTCTGGACTTTGAACGAACACTATTTGAATCAGGACATCGTGACATCGTACATCTTGGACTGAGATGGGATTTTATCGCCAAGAACCAACTGCCTGGTCAGCCTGACAGACAGTTCCACATCCCAGCACTATCTACAGTCCGTGGGCCACAGGATACGCAGGATCTATCATTATGCCCAGTCAGAGCACTTAAAGTCTACTTACAAAGAACTAAAACAAGGAGACGAAAATTCAAGCACCTATTCATCCCCTTATCCACTGAGACGCCCACGGAAGTCTCTCGGACAACGATATCGATCTGGATGAGAGCCGTTATACTAAGGGCCTATAAAGCAGCGGGACTTGAGCCTCCACAAGCCTCCAATCCACATGAAGTCAGAGCCTTGGCGTCTACACTTGCTCTGCATGGAAACTGCTCGATTACAACAATAATGGAGGGCTGCTTTTGGTGTTTGCCAACCACTACCTCAGAGACATTGTCACTGAAGACGTCTCAGGCATTCACCAGTTTGGGCCACTTGTTGTTGCACAACAACTAACGGTTCCACAAGGGCGCTGAGTAAATCTCACCCCTTTTATCACGTGACTTGTGAATGGCAATGGCTATAAGTCCATGCACACATCTAGGACAGACTAGCATGAGTGATAGACCCTGTACTTGTATAGGACATACTCGTACATGAAGAAGGGTCGCATCTCCACTTGATGCGCGCATCAAGAGATGGAGTTGCAATAGATAACTAATGGAATATTAGTATATCTAAAATCCACACGAAGATGTCAGGAAGAAATCTGACAAGTTGTGGTCCCCCCAGACTCACCAGAGATAAGTTGAAAGAACCTTCACCAGTGCCGTCATAAGTTCCCAAGGGGGGTAGTACAGGGCGTAAAGACGACAACCAGTGAATCCAGAAGTGGCTTGACCCACCACCGATGTTGCGAATATTGATTCTGTAAAAAGCATAATTAGCATGAGTCAGGATAAGGTGAAAATATGTAATTTTGACGGATTCTGACTAAAACATGATATTTTATACTTATCTGACTAAAATTGTGATTTTATACTTATCCTGACTCATGAGGTTAGCCCTCCCAACCTCCCTTCTTATAGCACTCTGGATTTCCCTGTTAATCCAGGTGTCGGGCTTACATATGGAGAGAGTGACAAATATGGCCGATCATGTGACCATTTGGGCACCAAAGGGAGGAAAGGGACGCTACTCTTGGGTGAGTGATTTTATGTCCGCTTTTTTAAAGGGAACTTCAAGGGATTTCAAGTGTTCCACTATCATTCGCAAGAGGAAGGAGACAAGCATAATTAGCATGAGTCAGGATAAGTATAAAATATCAATTTTAGTCAGAAAATTACATTTTCGATTGATCGATTGCTCCAGCACTATTGATAACGATCATTGTTGTTGTGTGCTTAGCTCTTGGGGAAATGGGGTAGCCTAGTGGTTAAAGCGTTTGCTTGTCACGCCGAAGACCAGGGTTCAATTCCCCACGTGGGTACAATGTTTGAAGCCCATGAAGTCTCCCGAAAGCGGCATAAAACTAAACTCAGTCAGTCAGTGCTTGGCTCTAAGCTGTTAAACAAGTCCTGACTAGAACAAGAAGCCTTACATGTGCAAATGCGTTATGTAAGTGAAATTTTGTGGAGCAGAACATTAAACCCTCTTTCATCTTGTGTGTCTGCAGTGTTGTGGATTGTTCCTCATGACTCCATGTTTTTATAGAGATGAGTACGGGAAGCTCTATGACTTTGTTGCTCAGAAGAAACTGAGAGTCAAGAACATCGGTGGAAAGGGGAAAAAACGAGTAAGTTGAGATCAAATTAAGTTTTCAATTCTTTTTAAGTATTCCAAAGATAAGTAGGGCTAAAGAACTTTTTCTTCTCTACTCAGCATATTCTTAGGACCAGTATATCCATCTTTAGTCATCTTTAGTCAGGAGTTGTAATGAGCAAATCTTAATTGGGAAAGATCCTACGAACCCAACCTTCGTGTGTGAGACTTATTGTTCGTGTTTCCAGACCCAGGACGATGATGACTGGGGCAGTGGTGATGAGGGTGGCGAACACGATGCCTACCTGGAGCGTATGAAGGAGGAAGGCAAGAATCGCCAGGTGGACGACGAGGATGACGACAGTGACAGCTCAGGTGAGAGAGTCAGGGACCAACCTTTTAAACAGATTGCATTGCACAGGTTAATGCCATAACAAGTTTTAAGCAAGTCTTTTATTAAGATGGTAAATGTTTCACATGAAGTTTTCTTGTATAGATTTATGGGAACAGGTGGTCCAGTGGTTACGATAACAACATTCACAGAGTTGTGTCCCTTTGGTATGCCAGAAACCTTTCATCATTGGCTGAATTCCTGGTTGTGTAGAGAATGTTTCTAGATTTTCAGCAACATACTCCTACATGTTGGGTGGCAGGGGGTATCCTACTGATTAAAGCGTTTGCTTATCACGCCGAAGACCTGGGTTCGAATCCCCACATGGGTACAATGTGTAAAACCCTTTCCTGGTGTCTCCTGCCGTGATATTGCAAGAAGCGGCATAAAACTGACAATACTGTTTGAAATGGTGATAAGGAGATATTTGACTTTGTGATTGTTTTTCTTCAGATGAGTCCTACAATCCTGGAGGAAGTGGAAGTGAGGTGGCTGAAGAGTGAGTATCTCACAACTAACCAGGGTCAGGTTTCACAAAGCAATGACAACACTGTTATAAGACTGTGATAAAATATGGGACTTAGTGCCGCCATTTTGATCTAGTTGCCTTGGGAAACTTGAGTCATACTCTTAGCTGACATTTTGTACTTGTGGTTTCAGTCAGCTCTGATACAGGTATGATATAGCTAGAATGGGGAAGGTGAAGGGAGAAGCAGGGTGGAAAGTGGTTAAAAGCGAGTTTTCTTGTCATGCCAAAGATACAAGTTTGATTCCCCACACAGGTACAATGTATGAAGTCGATTTCTCAACAAGAAAATGGCGGTATAGTGGAAAAATTATCAGGGCAAGTATTGCTGGAATATTGCCACTGAAAGTGGCATAGAATTTTAAATTTCCACTCACTCACACACACGCAAAATGCTTTCTGATAATAATCTCAAAGTGACCCAAGAATAATGTGTATGGTGTGTGTAAATTGAAACTTGTTCATCAGAATAATTTATGTAAGCTATTATTGTTAGTGCAATTTTCATTTTAATTATGGCTAGCAATTCTTGCAAATGACAATGTTTCTGAATAATCTTTTAGCGCGCCCTACTAGTCACTGATCGTAGAAAGTTTCTAGAAGATGTATATGTTTTGTTTGTGGAGAATGCACTTGGCTCATTTGTGTCTGTAGGTATGACAGCAACCCGCCGACGTCGTCGACGTCAGACTCGGACTATTCAGCCGGCTCCGCAGGGAGTGGAGGAGACTCAGAAGCTGAAGCAAGGAGGGAGAAGAAGAAGGAGAAGAGAGAAAAGAAGGAGAAGAAGAAGTCCAAGTCTGCTAAGACAGTTGTAAGTATGCGCTTTTGCTTCAGGTTGATTGTCACTATGTTGCAATTTATTCCGTGCAGTTTGTGGCTTTCATTCCCAGTTTGCTCCAGTTATCTTTCTAAGTTGAAGATCCGGGTTAGAATTGATCTTCAGCAACTCATGCTTGTCGTAAGAGGCGACTAACAGGATCAGGTTGACACATATCGTACATCCCAATTGTGTAGATCGATACTCACGCTGTTGGTCGCTGGATTGTCTGGTTCAGACTCGATTATTTAAAGGCTGACGCCGTATAACTTGAATATTTCTGAGTCGGGCATTGACCCGTGAAGATCAGGGATAGAATAGGTCTTCAGCAACCCATGTGCTTGCCATAAAAGGCGACTATGCTTGTTGTAAGAGGCGACTAACGGGATCGGGTGGTCAGTTTCGCTGACTTGGTTGACACATGTCATCGGTTCCCAAATGCGCAGATCGATGCTCATGCTGTTGATCACTGGATTGTCTGGTCCAGACTCGATTATTTACAGACCGCCGCCATATAGCTGGGATATTGCGGAGTGTGGCGTAAAACTAAACTCACTCACTCACTCACTGAGTCGGGCATTACACAACAACCAACCAAATCTAAGTTGGTCAGCACCATATCTGTACTGACTATTTCCACCAAAGGAGTGAAGATGTTAGACCTTATAATTTCAGGCTTCCTTCCCAAATTAAGGGCGGTTTGGTTGCCTAGTGGTTTAAGCATCGCTCATCATGCCAAAGGCTTGGATTAGATTCCCTACATGGGTACAATGTGTGAAGCCCATTTCTGGTGTCCACTGCCATGGTATTGCTGGAATATTGCTGAAAGCGGCATAAAACCATACTCACACAGTCACCCCAACATTTAACTTGCAAGCTGAGGATAACCATCCTTCCTCATGTAGGGAACTATATGTTATGTTGAAGCTTAAAGGGAGGTCACTCTTAGGTAGACCTGATGTGAGCACTCAGACTCAACATTTATCTTTCTGTCTGCAGAAGGAAGGAAGAAGGAAGAGAAGGAGCAAGAAGGACAGGGACCCCAACAGGCCTAAACGGGCTCAGTCAGCATATTTCTTGTGGCTCAACGAAAGCAGAGAAAGCATCAAAACAGAATTCCCAGGACTGTCCATCACAGAATTGTCAAAGAAGGCTGGTGAGATGTGGAGGGACATGACAGACAAATCTGTAAGTTAGCCTGTTTTTGTACTGATCCCTCCTAGTCCCTTGTCACAAATCCGATAGAATACCTTTACATACTGGCCCATCCTAGTGCAAGAATTGGTGTATATTGAACCTTCTTAGTCCCTGACACAAGTCTGATAGAATACCTTTACATACTGACGCCTCCTAGTCCCCGACACAAGTCTGATAGAATACCTTTACATACTGGTCCCCGACACGTCGCCTTTACCTAGTCTAGTCCCCGACACAAGTCTGATAGAATACCTTTACATACTGAGTCCTAGTCCCCGACAAGTCTGATAGAATACCTTTACATACTGACAAGCGATAGAATCCTAGTCCCGACAAGTCTGATAGAATACCTTTTACATAACGTCTGATGAGAATACCTTTACATACTGACGCCTCCTAGTCCCCGACACAAGTCTGATAGAATACCTTTACATACTGACGCCTCCTAGTCCCCGACACAAGTCTGATAGAATACCTTTACATACTGGCCCATCCTAGTGCAAGAATTGGTGTATATTGAACCTTCTTAGTCCCTGACACAAGTCTGATAGAATACCTTTACATACTGACGCCTCCTAGTCCCCGACACAAGTCTGATAGAATACCTTTACATACTGACTCCTAGTCCCCGACACAAGTCTGATAGAATACCTTTTACATACTGACGCCTCCTAGTCCCCGACACAGTCTGATAGAATACCTTTACATACTGACGCCTCCTAGTCCCCGACACAAGTCTGATAGAATACCTTTACATACTGACGCCTCCTAGTCCCCGACACAAGTCTGATAGAATACCTTTACATACTGACGCCTCCTAGTCCCCGACACAAGTCTGATAGAATACCTTTACATACTGGCCTCCTAGTACCCGACACAAGTCCTGATAGAATACCTTTACATACTGACGCCTCCTAGTCCCCGACACAAGTCTGATAGAATACCTTTACATACTGACGCCTCCTAGTCCCCGACACAAGTCTGATAGAATACCTTTACATACTGACGCCTCCTAGTCCCCGACACAAGTCTGATAGAATACTTTTACATACTGACACCTCCTAGTCCCCGACACAAGTCTGATAGAATACCTTTACATACTGACGCCTCCTAGTGCAAGAATTGGTGTATATTGAACCTTTTTAGTCCTTGACACAAGTCTGATAGAATACCTTTACATACTGACACCTCCTAGTCCCCGACACAAGTCTGATAGAATACCTTTACATACTGACGCCTCCTAGTCCCCGACACAAGTCTGATAGAATACCTTTACATACTGACGCTTCCTAGTCCCCGACACAAGTCTGATAGAATACCTTTACATACTGACACCTCCTAGTCCCCGACACAAGTCTGATAGAATACCTTTACATACTGACGCCTCCTAGTCCCCGACACAAGTCTGATAGAATACCTTTACATACTGACGCCTCCTAGTGCAAGAATTGGTGTATATTGAACCTTTTTAGTCCTTGACACAAGTCTGATAGTGACACCCCTGACACAAGTCTGATAGAATACCTTTACATACTGGCCCGTCCTAGTCCCCGACACAAGTCTGATAGAATACCTTTACATACTGACGCCTCCTAGTCCCCGACACAAGTCTGATAGAATACTTTTACATACTGACGCCTCCTAGTCCCCGACACGTCTGATAATATACGTCTTAATAGTCTGATGGAATAGATGTGTGTTGAACCCTCATAGATCCAAACCAAGCCTGTTAAAATATCTCAACACTGACCCCTCAGAGAGTGTGTTTGTGTGCTGTAGAAGTGGGAGGCGTTGGCGGAGGAGGCGAAGAAGGAGTACCAGGCTGCCATGGAAGAGTACAAGAAACAGAAGGAAGAAGAACCCAGTGGTGACGATGATGACGATGACGAAGAGGGAGGTAGAGGAAGTCCAAAGAAGTAAGAAATTTTAGCCAATCCATCAAATTGAATGGGATTGTGACCTGTGTGAGTGAGTTTAGTTTTCCGCCACACTCGGCAATATTCCAGCTATATGGCGACAGTGTGTAAATAATCAAGTCTGGACCACACAATCCAGTGATCGACAGCATGAGCATCGATCTACTCAATTGGGATACGATGACATGTCAAGCAAGTCACTGAGCCTGACCACCCGATCCTGTTAGTCGCCTCTGACGACAATCATGGGTTACTGAAGGCCAATTCTAACCCGGATCTTCGTGGGTGATGACCTACAGACCTCCATGGGGATTGGGGATTATCGTTGTGCAGCAATATACGATAGTCATAAGACTTTAGGGATCAGACTGTCAGTCTTGGTGATTTGGTTAATTTCATGTCAACACACCTTTGGACATTCATCATAGCACATTCTGTATTGTTAGACTTTATCATTTGTAATTTTTAGGTAACTGTTATGATTTACAATTGTTGGATAAAACTTTAACAACCAAACAAACTACCCATTACATGCAATTTCAGCAGAACATCATAACTGTCTCCTATACTCATCAACTTAGAATTATTATACCCTTCCACGAAGTTTGAGGTTTGAGCACCGTCTGTCTGTCCTTCAGTCTGAGATGATGGGGACAGATTTTCTCAAAAACTGTTATAGATAGGGAAACCAAATTTGATATGTGTTTTCAGGATATGAATGCCTTGATGGAGTTCAAAACAGAAACCGTGTTACGATTCTTTACAGATTTATGGTTCTTGTCATGCATGTCTTGACTTAGTGCACGGTATCTCCAATGGGGACAGATTTTCTCAGAGACCGTTATAGATAGGGAAACCAAATGTGGTATGTGTTTCTAGGACATGAATGTTGTGGTGGAGTTTGAAAATGGAAAACGTGTTATACTTCTTTACAGAGTTATGGCCCTTGTCATGCGTTTCTTGACTTTATGCACAGTATCCCCAATCGGAACAGATTTTCTCAGTAACTGTTATTGATAGTGAAACCAAATGTGGCATGTGTTTTCAGTAGTGTTGGGATTTGGTTAAAATCTCATAATTGATGATTGGTTCATTACTACCGATCTATCATTGAAAATAATTGGTTAGCGTCATTTATGAAATTTGTTGATCATATAAATATAAGGGAAAAGTTTTTAGTTCTTTTGGGTTTTTTGGCAAAATTTCAAATCTTTAAAGGATGACTAGTGTGTTAGGAACATACATTTCTTGGAATCTTTAAGATAAATTCAATCATGACTTGAAATGAGCTTGCAGTGCTTACAAAATGTAACAAACAAAACCAACCATGTGAAAAATAATGTTAATGAAAACAAGTGTTCCAGAATTGTTTGTGTTCGATTATGAGAAATTATGATCGATTGCTTGGTCATTTAGTCTTGCGACCAGTCTTTGATTATTTCAATTAATCGGACCACCACTAGTTTTCAGGACATGAATGTGATGATGAGGATGAAAACCAGTAACCATAGGAACAGAACACTGTGGCAGGGGATGTTGATGACCATGTCTTCTGGTTGGACATGTGTTTACCATGTTGACAGCAGTAATTTATCATGACAATGTACAGGACCACATTGGTGTCAAAATTAAATATATGAGAGTTTTGACTATTATTCTGACTGAATACATAACCGCATCCAATACATATCAACTTGGAGTGTTCACTTGTAGAGATCGATATTCATCTTTCAGGGAGAAAAAGGAAAAGGTGAGCCCCAGCCCGAAGAAGCAGACTGAGTCTCGAGCCGGTGCAGGAAGTGACTACAAGAGCAAGGAGTTCATCTCTAGCTCCTCCAGTTCCGACGAGGACAAGCCTCTCAAGAAGAAGGCCAAGAAGGAGGGCCGCAAGGAGAAGCGAGCGGTGAGCTCCCCCAAGGGGAGGAAAAGCAAGCGAGGAGCAAAGAGGAACTCAGGGAGTGAGAGCGAGGAAGCAGAGGTGAGAGAGACAGATTGACTTTGTCATCCTCATTGTCGTAATGGGGCGACCATGCAGCTGAGTGGTTTAAGCTCATCCTCACATGGGTAGCCTAGTGGTTAAAGACCTGGGTTCGATTCCCCAATGTGTGAAGCCCATTTCTGGTGTGCCCCATCGTGATATTGCTGGATTATTGCTAAAAGTTGCATAAAACCTCACTCACTCATTCACTCTGGTGTCTCCTGCTGTGATATTGCTGGAATATTGCTAAAAGTGATGTAAATCCATACTCACTCACTCACTCACTCATCCTCAGATCTGATGGAAAAGGGTGACCTTGCCTTCTGCCTCGTCCCAATTATATTTGATTTCTTCTTGACAATTCAAGAACAAAAGAACATTCTGTCTACCAAATGAAAAAAAAATACTGCCTAATTTTATGTGAAAAACATAAGCTACTGTTGCATTGTGCATTATTTGCTCTTCAGTTTCTAAGATTGTTTTGGGCGTGGGGAAAGAGGTTATGGGTGTCCCAGTTATATGACATGCCACAATAAGCTGTGCAGATACAATAAGCTGTGCAGAGTTGTCTCTCTTTGGTACGACATAAACCTAATCCGATCTCTGCAACCCAATGTGTAACCTATTTGTTACCCTGTGCTCTTGGGTTTCACCGAGTGGTAAATGTCTGAGACATGCATCACTTCATGCTTTGTTCACATATACTGATACTGTCACATAACTGGAACACTGCTTAACCCATTCAACCCCGCAGGCCGCTTAAGCGGCCACAACGTTATGAGTCCCCAGACACCGGAGGCCGCTTAAGCGGCCAGACAGTAGTCACGTCAAAATGAGACATAATTTTAGGAACTTACCTGACTTATGATTCATATATTAAATCCATCACATTTCACAATGTCTGGAAACACTTATTAAATTTCAACTGATCATATATTATCGGCAGAATTAAAATTATAAACTATTTTTCGCAATGTAATTGAAAACAACGATTCTCGTACACATGCTTCGGCAGCGGGTCCACAATAACATTGTCAAAGAGCAAAGTAACGATGTTTCGAGGAAATTATTAAATAAATTGAATAAACTAATGAATAAAATCAACAACAGCATTCATAAAAGTTGTACATATAAAATTACTATTTCCATCTTTTTGTGAGATCATGTAATGCAAGTCAAGTCACTGACAAGTGACATCTCTCGCTCTCGCCTCAATCTTCAGCTTTCCGGACCACGATGTTTAATGTGAAAATATATGCATGAAGCATTTTGTCACAGGTCATAACCTAGCACGAACATCCAATAAGTCCCATAATTTACGATATGCAGCGATTTCTTGCTTAATATGTTCAGAATAGCATTATTTTACCCAAAACTTTCGTCTAAATCTAAAAAGTTTTCGTTTACGAGGACGGTATCCATTGCCGTAATATGATTGGCTACCTTAGGTCACGCGTGTCTGATTTTGACCAATCACGACCCTTATAGCAGATTGTAGCGAAAAAGCGCCATTAGAAACCAATTTTATCCAATAAAATCGCTTCTTACAACTGTGAAAATACTCGGCAAGGGTTCAGTGATGTTGTTGATGTTCAGAGCTTTAAGCGATACCCAGCATCAAACGATTAAGCCTCCCATGTTATTCATAAGAAGCTTCGAAAACGGAGGTATTTTCCGTTGTTATGTCATGTTACCGGCGGAAAGCCACAGATATCGGGAAATAGGCGACCATACATATTATTTAAGAAATCTTTTATAATAATTTTCTGATGACGTAAAATGAAAATATAAAAGAAAAAGGCACGGGCTTGTTATGACATGTCACAAATGGAAAAAAATCGCCATAGTTTTTGCTTCTTTCGTGATTTATCTGGACGTTATAAATGTAAGCTTGCATTTTCATTCAAAAATAATTTTATTTAAGTTGTAGTTGTATTATTTGAATAATATTATAAAAATAAACTTCATATTTATCAACAGTAGGATTAGATCTTTTAAATGGTGTATGGGATGTAGTAGCAATAACGTTTTACAAGCTTATAATTTCCTTCATAAACATAGGCTTCATCTATGACCTCAGAGTCTCTGGGAACTTCGGTGTCATGGCAGTAAATGCCTCTGGTTGACTGGTGTTGAAAGAGTTAAGGTGGAGTTTACCGGTGAAGATCTAGGTAGAATTGGTCTTCAGCTTGTCGTAAGAGGCGTCTAACGGGATCTGGTGGTCAGCGCCGCTGACTTGGTGACACATGTCATCGTATCCCAGTTGTGTAGATGCTCATGATGTTGATGACTGGATTGTCTGGTCCACACCGTATACAGTGGAAGCTGTCTAAACCAGCACACGACGGGACTGAATAAATAATCCGGTTTTGACAGCGTGCCGGAATGTAGAGCTGACATGGTTACCTACGACTAGAACTAAACCAGTTTTATCACTCTCATATGCATTGTTGTATAAGGTGGTTCTCTCAACTCACTAATTACATGTACACCCATACTGAACTAAGATTAAATTATCTTTGTCGACAACCATGTAGTTTCAACACAAGATTACTGACTCCTTGCCATGCGCCGGATTAGACAGCGCTGGTTACTGTATAAACACATATTCGGGCGGCTCATTTCATGCCGAGATCCAGAATTGACAGCTGCCGGATTGCAGAGCTTTTAAATGATGATAAATGTACTAGCCATGGATGGGACTGAGATTTTATGCCGATGTTGACATCTTGCCGGATTGGACAGCTGCCGGTTTTGACAGCTTCCACTGTATAGCAATATGGGTGGAATATTGCTGAGTGAGGCATTAAACAACAAACAACATAAAAAAACAAAACAAGGTGGAGTTAACCAAACTCACTCCCTCGCCCACTCTCACCGACTGTTGATTCAAGACTTGTTAATTATGTATGCTCATGAGTGTTTGATTGTTTCAGCTGCCGGAAGACGAGGAGATCCTCAGTTCGCCCACAGCATCTGAAGCTTCAGGTTCCGAGTCCGACTCCGACTGAGACAAGGACAGACTGAACGCACCTGCCCAAGACTATCATATTAACCCTGTGTCTGAGCAATGCTTCTTTCAACAAGCTTCAGGTTCCGAGTTCGACTCAGACTGAGGCCTCTGTGTTCTGATCATGAGCTGTGAATGTTAACTCTTGCAGCCTTGACAAGAGGCTACATGTTCCACGTACCCAAGCATCTGTATATAACAACACATTGTGAATCCATCACCAGGACCTGCGACAGCCAAAATCTAGTTCATGCTATCAAATGTTGTTTTAGTGCTGCATGTCGTTCCTGTGAGACTACGTGCCGGATTTCTTGTAAATGATACAAACAAGATCATTTTGTTAACATACTCAAATTCATTGTCATTCATATTAAGAAGATTTGATCAAATGTCTTCTCGTTCCCTGTATACTGGAGTTTGTAAATATTCATGCTGAATGTGCTGTCAAGTGATGTAAATAAATGTGTGCCTTCTTACAAGTGTCCTGTCCTCCATGATAATCCATGTTCGAATTGGTCCAGAGCAACTCATGCTTGCATCCCATGAAGGTGGTCTCCAGCAACCCATTCTTGTCATAAAAGGTGACTAACGGGATCAGGTGGTCAGCTTCGCTGACTCATGTCATGGTATCCCAATTGCGTAGATTGATGCTCATGATGTTGATCACTGGATTGCTTTGTCCAGATTCAATTACTCGCAGGCCGCCGACATAAGCTGGAATATTGCTGAATGAGGCGTTTAACAACAAACCAACAACCAACCTGTCTGCCTGATTAACAACACGAAACACACTAGCATTCTTTGGAGGGGCTAAACCATTAGATAAAGAGATATGTAATAAATTATCAATGTTTATGTAGCATTTAGTAATGGAAAGTGTAAACACTGAAAAGGTTTCTGGGCACTATCTGAAGGATAAAACTTGGTGCTCAGAGTTATGTTAAAAATGCAAAACCAACAGATGGGAAACCATGAGGGCTTTTCCTGATCTTGATGTTGTGAATTTGCAACCGAAACCTTGGGATGAACCCTTTATCTGAGGAATGAACTGTCTAAATGAAAAACATATCCGAAAGAATAAAAACTGGGAGGAAAAATGTAATGTGTCGCAATAGGAATTTAATAAAAGTGTGTGAGAAATGAAGAGAAAAGATGTGAAGCATACACACAGAAGCCATGACATAAAATACTAACGCACTTTATATACCTAACAATAATATGGACCATTCTGCACATGCAATACTGGCTGTCGGCATATGTCCATATTGACCACACGGGCCGAAAATCCATATCGTCCGCAGAGCGCGACTGCTAAACTGGTACGGAATGAATACACGCAAACGCTCGAAACCTTCAATAGACTGAGCCTAGTCTATTTTAGAGTTACGTCCCTTGCGTCGTCTGCTCGAGTTGCTGTCCAAGAAATGGTGGAAGTCTGAGTTCTAATCTTGGCGACGATGTTTTGGCTGCTCTTGCCGACAGAATCATGGCGTATTTGACTGTTTCAATATTTACATGTGGTATATGATGAAAAGGTCATGATATGACAGATCCCCTTTCGTCAGTCATATCACTCTCGACTATTATACCATACGGCTTTGTGGGAAAACTGGGTTAAGTGCTTATTATGACGTGAGGTTTATAAAAGTTACAATGTAATTGTTACAATTCAATTATCAAAACTCAGCAGGCTACCACCTCATAAGTTACTATGGGAAGAGGACCGCCTCCGTGGTGTAGTGGTTAGAGCGTCCGCCCGGAGTGCGGAAGGTCGCGGGTTCGATCCCCGACCGCGTCATACCAAAAGACGTTAAAATATGGTACTTGTTGGTCCCTGCCAGGCGCTCGGCATTAATGGGTACAACAAGGACTGGTCGGCTCTGAGTCAGTATAATGTGTCTGAGTGGGGTATTCGTGCTTCACTGCGGCATGGTATCTCAGTGGGCTAGCACTATAAAACCAGCTTCAGTCTGGGCTAGTACAAGCAGCCGCACATACACATACACACGCATGCACGTCGTCATATGAGCGAAATATTCTCAAGCACGACGCGTTAAACCCAATTTCACCTCACCTCACCTATGGGAAGAGAAGTTACCGTATTTCCTCTATTAAGCGCCGGGCCTCTAATAACCGCCGGGGATAAAGCTGTGCTTTAAGAAATAAGCGCCGGGTCTCTAATAAGCACCGGGTATAGACCTTTGCATTTTTTCGCAAATTTATTCTCCTTTGGTCTAAAAATAAATATATTAAGGAATGGTCCCTTAAATCATAACTTCATGTACTCATCCCCGTTTATAAAAATACAGGGTATTTTAATAAGCGCCGGGCCTCTAATAAGCGCCGGGTCTGGAGGTCCGTACGCACTTTTAATTATTTCGCATCAATATTTCTCAAATATTTTCATATAGAAACGAAAAGCTCACTTTCATACCAGTCTGCATGTAGTGTATGAGAAAACTGAAAATCCCTGACAAAAGGGTGATCCTGAGTGAAAAATTAGGTTATTATTTCAGTCATGACGTGATCAGCAACAGAGCCTCCCCAGATGATCCACCTATAGAGCTGTCTTAGTGAATGTGACGATAGGTACCTGTCAGTATGTCAGCAAGTGTAGATTTCCTCAGTTCTCCATCTTCCATCCCACTGGGACGTGAGAGGCGACTAACGGGATCAGGTGGTCAGGCTCACTGACTTGGTTGACACGTGTCATCTTATCCCAGTTGCATAGATCGATGCTCGTGCTGTTGCTGAGTGCGGCGTAAAACTAAACTCACTTGCTCACTCTGAGCGAACACGCCTCGTTAGTATAGAATCCGCATGTTGTTTGTTTCTGCAATAGGCTGGTGATTTTAAGAGCGCTTATCAACTTACACCCAACTGTCCCAGAGATGTTATGTCCTTACCGACATAAGTGGGAGAGGGGCGTCGATAAGAATACAAATGTTAGGCATTTAACTTCCTCGTTATTTTGTGAAGTTCATCGAAAATAGCAGGCGACATTCGGAATATATTGTACATATTCGGTGATCTTATTCGGCATCTTGCATAATTAAGTCGAGACACAAAATTGCGGTTGGTATGTTGCAAATGTAATTCCAACGGTTCGGCAAAACATAAACGTACTTAATGCCTTGGGAATCGGTCTCAGTCAATCAGAATCCGACATTCATTTGTAAGGTAAATTATCTTATTTAATAGCAACCGTTTACAAATAGCACTACAACATCTTGGGCGGTTTGGTTTGGGTTTGTTGTTTAACGCCGCACTCAGCAATATTCCAGCTATATGGCATTGGTCTGTAAATAATCGAGTCTGGACCAGACAATCCAGTGATCAACAACATGAGCATCGATCTACGCAATTGGGATACGATGACGTGTGTCAACCAAGGCAGCGAGCCTGGCCACGCGTTCCCGATAGTCGCCTCTTACGATAAGCATGGGTTGGGCGTTACGAGCGCCCGCCCCGAGGTATAAAAGAACTGGGTATTATATGGGTAATGCTATTTTTGAGGGCATTATCATTTGCAGAATCCCGAGGTCTTCCATTAACTGCCCGACGGAGGGCAGTAGAAAAAGACCGAGGGCTTCTGCAAATGATAATGCATTACCGTTATTATTGCTAAAATACATGGAAATTGTGTTGAAAGGAAAAAGGAAACAATGAAGGAATATGACTGTAAGTTTACCGTCAACTTCTGACGGGGGAAGCTGGTCCCCGGCTCCCTTTGCGCGCGCTAACGTTCGCCAAAGCTATATATATATATTGCGATATGCGAGACGGGGCCCAGCTTACTGACGGGGTTGACTGCCCGAATGCAATTACGTCATCGAACAATTCAAGTGACGTCACAACAGAAAGTGACGATATTCGACCTTGGCCTTTGACAAGACCATAGCCTGCAACATGTCAAACTATGTCAGTGTTCGGTTTTGGTCCATCAACAGCCTTAATAGTGCAATTGTTAAGGTTAGCACCAACAAGAAAGCCAATATTACCGCTATTAAAAGCGGGAATTCGGGTTGCTTTGACTTGTTTGACCCAGAATATCTGCCAGTCGAAAGCCAATTAATGTCGAATGAACCGTAAGCCCACGCACCCACTATGACGTCACTAGACAACAGAACTGATAGTGGCCCGTCGTTAAGGTTGAGCGGTGCAATATCATTTGCAGCGGCCCGCAAATTTCTGATAATGGGAGAGCCGTTTCATGATAATTCCATGTATTTTAGCTATAAGACTGTATGAACTGCTTCTGCGCCCAAAATATGGAGACAATCGTGTTCGGCGTCAACAATAGCTATTTTTCTGTTTCAAATTTTAACCTGGACCTTTACGGGTCTCATAATTCTTCACGGAATACACATCGTGTGTCCTTTGGGCTATAATGCTGCTTCAAACAGTGTTTCAGTTTTAACACTCCAGGTCAGCTTAATTTGCACTCAAAGACCAAAATTATGGAGGTCTAATGAGTGATGGGTGAAATTATTTTATGCCGTTTTTAACAACATTCCACCGATATCACGGAGGGGGACATCTGAAATGGGCTTCACACATTGCACCCATGTGGGGAATCGAACCCGGTTCTTCGGCGTGACGTGCAAACGCTTTAACCACTAGGCTGCCCCACCGCCCCTTATGGAGGTCTAAAGTGTTTACACTTCTTTGGTGAAATCCTCGGACTGGGGCTGTCAGCGTGATGGCTTATCTGGAATTCGATCTCACGACCATTGGTATCTGAGGCTCCCAAGGGCGGTGGGGTAGCCTATCTGTTAAAGCGTTTGCTCGTCTCGCAGAAGACCCGGGTTCGATTCCCCACATGGGTACAATGTGTGAAGCCCATTTCTGGTGTACCCCGCCGTGAAATTAGCTGGAATATTGCTAAAAGCGGCGTAAAACTCACTCACTCGCTGGAGCTCCTAAGGGACACAACCCTACAAAGCTAAGTGCGGCGTCTTTCGCTACTGTGAGCACCTACTGTTTTGAATAGAGCAAGAATTAAAGGGACTGGTTGTTGCTTTTGTTATTGTTTTCCAACCGCGAGCACCCGGATGATATCCCAGAATTATTGACTGGATTGCGATCTCTGCTGCGCCACCCGCAAGCGCAATCGGTAGTAAATATCAGTATTATATGTATAACCTGACATTGATCATCAAAGATGAATTCTTTTTCACTCCTCCTCATTATTATGGTAACAAATGTCAGTGGTAAAATTTTGAAAAAAAAGAAGTCAATGTACGTCTTTATATTTTTGTCTTAAGCCGAGTTTCCATGTGCGCGTAGTGCGTAAACAACACTTTATACTAAAATAGTAAAAGCCGCTTCCATGCACGCGTGATGCGTAGTGTGTGATTTTGCATACGCTCAAAAGGTGTCTGAATACGCCTCACGCCTCCATACTGAGGCCGGAAATAGGGTGGTGGTGGTGGAATTGGGTTTAACGTCGTGCTTGAGAATATTTCGCTCATATGACGACGTGCATGCGTGTGTATGTGTATGTGCGGCTGCTTGTACTAGCCCAGACTGAAGCTGGTTTTATAGTGCTAGCCCACTGAGATACTATGCCGCAGTGAAGCATGAATACCCCACTCAGACACATTATACTGATTCCGAGCCGACCAGTCCTTGTTGTACCCATTAATGCCGAGCGCCAGGCAGGGACCAACAAGTACCATATTTTAACGTCTTTTGGTATGATACAGTCGGGGATCGAACCCGCGACCTTCCGCACTCCGGGCGGACGCTCTAACCACTACACCACGGAGGCGGTCCCGGAAATAGGGATTCCCAATGTCACGTGGTTTCCATTGCACACACAAGTTGCAAAATGCCAAGGATCGATACTTCTTAATGAACAATTAATTGAACTCGTTAGATGCAATCCAGGAAGGACCTCAAGAATGTTACGAAGATATACAAATATCAAATTAAAACCGACTCAAGTTAGAGCAATAATATCAGTCCATAACCTTGTTCGAGGAATGCATCCATCAATATCCACATAGAGGAACGATATGCCATTCATCTTCAGCTGACAAAGAAACCTGTTCCATGTCATGTGTCTTTTATCAGTCTAATATGCAAAATGTATAACTCGTTGTAATTAGTGATGCACAGGAACGCTTTTTTATGGATAGACAACTTCTTTATTGGAATCGATGCGACGTTTCGGTGTAGATGCTGATTTACAAGTCGCACGAGTTTTAATGGATGACAACTTTTTTATAGCAATCGATGCGACGTTTCGATGTAGATTAGCATCTATAAAAACTCGTTTCTGTTCTAAACACCACCAGCACCAGCTTCTAAACACCACTCTACCCGTGAAGGTCCGGGTTAGAATACTAGTATTCATCTTTAGTAACCCATGCTTGTCGTAAGAGGCGACTATTAAACGGGATCGGGTGGTCAGGCTCGCTGGCTTGGTTGACACATGTCATCGGTTCCCAGATAAGACATTTTCTAATAACGGCATCTGATGTCCGATTGATCCACCGTTCATATTGTCCCATTGTTAGGTTGAAGAAATTCTGCCAGGCGCGTAGCAAGACAATTATTTCGTGTAAGCCCGATAGGTTACAAAGCTATATATTTAGATGGTATTGAGGACTTGCCCATCCTATCTAGCAACAATCATGTGTAAGCTTGGGCTTTTTATTTATAATGGTAGCTCCGCCCCTGTCTGCAAAGGTGGACAGTTGCCCAGTCCCCGTGTCCATCACGGCCAAGGCACCAGGGACTGACCGCCTGGCATCTGGGCAATAATTATTGTTGACGCGAAAAACAAATCGGTCTGGATCAGTGCCCCACATTCGGTGCCTTTGCCATGCTAAATTTTGTTTGACCAGATATGGACCGATTGATAGACTCAAGCCTCATTTTCGCTTACGTTTACTTTTTTCTCACATTCTTTTCTTTTAAGTTGAAAGTAATAACTTCCCTTTTTCTAATAATTCAAAACATCAACAGAATTTCGCCTTGAATAACAAACTCTCTAATGTTCCTCTTCCCGATGGGAGGTAACCGACTTTAGAAACTTGCTACGTCTGACGGAACGTTTGTGTGAGTATTTTATGTCCGTTTCATTTACTTTTGTCAGCTATCATACCTCACCACCATTTGAAAACAATGTTGAAAAAATTCTGACTTTAGAGTGCGTATGCATGTTGTAGTAGGCGATTAAGTCGCAAGGGTCTGTCTAGATGAGGAAGGAAGATAAATGCACTTCCGGTATGTATATTCACTGAATTGTATCTTCAACTCAGATTGGCCCATATGGCTCCATCTCACCTTATAGGGAAGTAAAATGAACGCAGATTTGGTGACGTCATTTCCTGTTTTAGAAGACATCAATAATTACACGCGTGACTCATAATTTGACCCAGTATTCGTATGACCAGTTGGTCATCAGTGTCTGTAAATCGAGTTCATTAGCTCACACATGAAACTTGTCTACAGACACGTATGATTTATTAAACTTAACACTTCCGTGAGATGTAACCTTGATCTAAATCACAAACTTATAATATGCAACAGTCAAACTCAGGATCACACAGTGAAGTTACTACATTACCAAAACTTTTGTGATGACTTTGGCGTTTGACAAAACAGACATTTTGTCACAATACTTGCATAATTTTACACATATATTTTTATTAATAGCCTATTTATTGCAATTTGTAGAGATGCCAACCCCCAACCTCAAGATATCCAGTCAATGACTTAATTTGTCTTGGCACCAAAAGGATGAATGCTTGAGCATTATCAGTGTACAAAGATGATACAAGTAAACTGGATTGGGATTTCACAGATAACATATGAACATACAATCTTAAGACCTAATTAATATATTGATTTGCCACTTATAGGAAGAAAAGGAACAGAGACCTAAACCTGAGTTTCGTGACATCTCCACACAGCAATGCAGCATCCAATGTTCCCGTTATGTTGGGAAGAGAAGAGACACACCACAAATGGGCTTCACACATTGTACCCATGTGGGGAATTGAACCCTGGTCTTCAGCGTGGCAAGCTATCGCTTTAACCACTGGTCTGCCCATACCCTGCACTAGAAACTGACAATAATAACTTACAAAACAAACATTAAAATTATGAGAAAATGCCTGAAGGTCAACTTGACAAGGCTTGTTAAAAGGCTCTTGGTTGGTTCAGCAACCTACTTGTCATTAGAGGAGACCTACAGGATCAGACCAGGCTCCATAACTTGCTTGAAGCACGTCATCATATTCCATTTGTGTTTTGTTTGTTGTTAAATGCTGTACTCAACATTATTCCAGCTATATGCCGACAGTCTGTATACAATCAAGTCTGGACCATCAACTCCATTTGCACAGATTGATGCTAATAGTCATGTTCCAGCCCATTATTTCCACACTCCTGTAAAGCTGTAATGTTGTTGATTGTGGTTATTCATAAATATAGCTGCAGCATGTTGTAATTGATGACTTCTTCCATTATTATGGTAGTTAAAAAGAAAGAAAAAGACACACCCTAGGTACCAATTATTTAATGTTTGGAAATTTCATTTAAGTGTTTAATGTCAACTAATCATACAAGCACTTTTTCTTCTAGTAAACAGTGTCACAGCCAACAGGAAATCTCATTACAGTTACCACTGTTAATAGTTTCAGTACCTTAGTTTCAGCCATTGTTTACAACTCAAGTCCAAACAAAAAAACTCAGTCAGCTCCAAAGGCAAGGCTGTTAATGACATGAAAACCAGACTTATTCAAACTATGTACTATGACGATGGCACTTGAATGCTAGCCTTAGGATGCATTTCGCACAGATGAAATCTAAAGATATGCTTTCATTTCCGGACTGTTTTCACACAATTGTCAGAGGAAATCCTAACATTTTTCAGAATATCTATTTAAATGCACCTTTCTAGTACTCACTATTGCCTCACAAAGATCTTCGATCCCATTCCATGTCAGAATTACCTTTCCTCCAGCCAGTGTTGCTTAATGACAGGCTGTATGACAGATTTGGAAAAGTTGGACCACAAATGTGTCCCTCCAATGGGAACAATACTTGAAGCAAAAGAATTCCAATAATCTCGGCGCCCGAGATATTTCAGAATCGTCATTGTTCAATTTTCAAATTTGGAATTGAGAAGTTCGTCAATTTTCAAAAGCAGTCTGGAATGGGAATTTGCACATTCTAAATTTGTGCCGTCATAGCCAGAGAAAGCGGCTTTCTGACTGGCTAAGGTTGGCTGTTGGGCATTTCACTGGTCAATTAAAGGGTGAAAGGGTGATTCTGACATTACCTGTATTGGAATGGTTCCAGAGCTTTGTGTAACGAAGATCATCAATTTGAGGAGCCTGTATGCTCTACACTCAATAAACAACAACAATTATCTACACTTGAATATACTTTAATTAATGATAAAAGCATGACATCAGTTTATAAAGTTGTTACATTTTTCCTAGAATATTTCTTGCCCACTAGACATGGATATCATTGTGACAGCAAGAACTAACTGTGATCACAACACAAGACGGGCTGGCTGCGGCAGCAACAGGCGGCGGCTACCTAAGTCATATATAAAGTTGAACTGTGGTTGTGTTCAGTAACATACAGAAGGGGACAAAGATACAGACACATCGGCCGTGGCGGCCAGAAGGCAAAAGCTAAGTCGAGAAAAAGGAATCATTTTCGTTCTAAGTAAAAAAAAAAAAAAAGACACAGTTTGATGCTCACACTGCTAGTTACATTAAAGAGTGCAAAATAACTGCTTCAATCATAACTTAACATTATAAAAAAAAGGAAAAACAAACATTTACTACACAAGTTGATGACTACAAAACAATCTTGACAGATTGGATCCAACCTGTACCATACTTACATCATATTGTTGGACATTACAGACAAAACATGATTACACAATTATGTCTGAAAATCCTCACATTGTACAACAGCATTAAAACTTGTTATATCACTGAAAAGTGGTGCTCCATCAGAAAGATGACAATAGTTCTGCAGCTCTACCGTTTATGTTTTTTTTTGTTTTGGCTAAAATCACATTCAATAGGAAATCTTCCATCAGATCCAAGAACACTGGAATTGTAAGGTCAGGTTGATCGCAGTATTCCACACTTGAGTAAGTTGACTCTATCGACTCCCAATGAAAGACTCATACCTTGGTCCACAGAGAAAGTCCAGGATGTCACACTGGCAAAGAGTCAGTCCACACTCAGTCAAATAAATCCATGATACTTAACACAGATTTAGGCAGACATGTTTATTGGGTAGAATGTTCCACCCCCCTTGTCACCTTCAGTGGCCATGACACCTATTACGCAGGAGAGAAATGGCAAGGGTTCAACTTTAAAGCTTAGGTAGTATCCATCACCTGATAATATACCTTTACAAAAATAATACCGAACAACTCTTTGGAGACAAAGTGTGGGCACACTGTCAATAAGAAATTTGGTTTTTGTTTGTTTTCCACATTTAAGTTTTCGAAAAGGCGACAGGATCATTGACATATCACAGGACCCTGTCAATTACTGATGTTTGGTATAAGGTCCAGTACTGATAAATAAAGGTAATGGTGGTAACAGATTAGCATAAGCTATGTCATATCACATGAGAGTTTCTATCTACATTTCTGAGTTAGCTGAAATGCTGAGTACCTTACTGATGATGGAATATACAACTTATCAAAGTTGATGTTACATGCAACTAGACAAATAAATTATGTGCAACTGTGCACACAATGACTACGGCTGTCAACTGGGTGAAGTAGTTTGTCTTGAATGTAGATGAAGTCTCAAGAACAGCTTGCCATGGCCAATGGCTGTGACAAGAGGATGCTGCAGACTGTATTTCAAGGGCCAGGTCATAACATTTAGCATTTCGATAGGAAAATTACAAATAATGTCAATTTCAGAGTGCTAAGTACAACCAGCCTTTACGATCCATCCTCTCCCTCCACATCCTGGAGCTGATCTTTCTGCGATTCTTCACCTGAAGCACAAATATAACATTACAAATAAAACACACAAAAATGCAGTTAAAGATTAGATCACATGAATTCCAAAAAGTATGTAATGCCTGAAATGGCCAGGGCTTGTTCTAAGACAGTCCCCATACCAATATACTGTATGATGCACAAATATAATACAAATATTTTACAATCAAACCTGCATTTTGATCCACTTGTCTTAAGATTTGAGCAAATAACATGCCAAATATGATCGGTTAGACGATTTAAAGTTAAGGTACAGATGTACTGGAAATTGAATTTCATAAGCACACATGCAAAATAGCCTAATATAAGGCCAAAAATAACAAAAGCTTACATTTGATCTGTGTGTAAGACACATGTAAAATTATTCCCATGTCCAACAGTATATATTGCAATGACAAGCAAATTTCATAAAGCCATGACAAGTTATCCTAGCAAATTCCCAAAGCCTCCATGTTCCAGTGGGAATCAGCTATTTGTCACAATTAGTTGCCCTATGACTTAAAGCTTCAGACGTACCTTCAGTCTGCATATCCGATGTCCACAGAGTAAGGTTGTCCCTCAGTAACTGCATTATCAATGTTGAATCTTTATAGCTCTCTTCTGACAAAGTATCCAGCTCTGCAATGGCATCATCAAATGCAGCCTTTGCAAGTCTACATGCTCGATCAGGTGAGTTGAGGATCTCATAGTAAAATACTGAGAAGTTAAGGGCCAGACCAAGTCGTATGGGATGTGTTGGTGCCAGCTCCGTCATGGCAATATCACTTGCAGCTTTGTATGCCACCAAACTGTTCTCAGCAGCTTCTTTCCTGTCGTTTCCTGTGGCAAATTCTGCTAAGTACCTATAATAGTCACCCTTCCTGCAAATGCAACAATATTTTGTGAACATGGTGATCATAAATCAGACACTAAGTGATCTCAATACCAATCAGTGTTGTGAGAGTTGAGTTCAATCCTTATTGATACAGTGTGTTTACATCCATATCATAAATGGTACAAATTATTTGTTTACATGTATCGCTATGAAAGTGGATAAACAGAGATAATATTGATTCTGTTTAAACTTTTGAAAAAATATAATCATTTGATATTATTGACAGGAATCTCCAAAGTGATTCAGGTAGTTATATATCCACTTGGAATATTATTTCAGTTATCATATCGTAAGCTTAGCGTGAGTGAGTGAGTTTAGTTTTACGCCGCACTCAGCAATATTCCAGCTATATGGCGGTGGTCTGTAAATAATTGAGTCTGGGCCAGACAATCCAGTGATCAACAGCATGAGCATTGATCTGAGCAATTGGAAACCGATGACATGTGTCAACCCGTCAGTGAGCCTGACCACCCGATCCCGTTAGTTGTCTCTTACGATAAGCATGGGTTACTGAAGATCAATGTTCTAACCCGGACCTTCGCGAGTCGAGCTTCGTGTGGGAGGAAAGTGAGTAATGGAAAGTAATGCACTAGACATACACCCTTTCAGTGAAATCCACAAACACAGGTATGTTCCTGACAAACAATCAGGTTGAACCAGGATTCAAACCTACGTTCACAAGTTTCTAGCAAAACAAGGGACGTCACTCCCAGGACAGGAACAGCAAACACTAGTGTGTTCGACAACTGGAGCACCCATGCCACCAGGGTGCTATACACTTAACTGCATGGTAAAGCTCTATAGAAAACACTTACATTTTATAGTAGAAAACTTTTGACTCTCCTGAACTTGCTGATGGTATCAGGAAACTCTCCAATACATGAAGTACTTCATTACAAATGTCTTTCAACTCCTTCTCAATCTGAAACGTTATGAAAAGGTGAAACTTCAAAAATGATGACATCAGCATGCTCAGTCAGTAAGAACAGCATTGGAATATGCCACTGAAATGATAGAATGAGGAGGAATTCCATGCAATGTCTTGGAATATTTTCAATCCGGTCTGATCAGAAATATCAGGAAACAAACTATGATGAATGATACAAAGAATGGCCATTCAATCACAAAAGACATGCTGCTTTAAGTCAGATGAAGTGCAAAGACAAGTGCAAGATTTTTCATTTAAAGTGGCAAACTAGGCAATATTTGATTTTAATGCTTTTAGTCACAAAAATTGAAGATGATTGGTGGACAAGTGCCTTCAAAGATTGTCCTCACCCTAAATCAGCAGTATGGTCTTCGGCATGACGAGCGAAATGCTTCAACCATGAGACTACCCCACAGCCTGCCAATATCATGAACATTGATCAATGCAGCCAACTGAAGATCAATTCTAACCCAAGTTGTTACAGGGTTGGAGACTTCAGTGCATGAATACTATGCAAAATATATTGCATGCAAAATAACAGATGCATATAAACGTATCAAATACTCTTCATTTTGCACTTACCCCAGACCTATATTCAGTAATTAATACTTTCTTGTCTTCAGACTTTTGTCCATCAGGATTCTCCTTTTGCTCCATGCTGCTGATTATCCTCCATGATGCTCGTCGAGCTCCAATGACGTTTTTGTAGGCAACTGACAGAAGGTTCCGTTCTTCAACTGTCAGCTCACAATTCATCTTGGCCACCTTCTTCATGGAGAGCACCATCTCTGCCAAGAAAATACATTGATCAGACAATAGTACATGGGCCCTTTAATAAACAAGACAGTTATACATCTGATCAATTAAAGGTTGTAAACATTATAATAGTATCAGAGTTAAATAACAAACCATGTCTTGATGTGTACAACTGCTTTGATATTACAATGCTCTTTCACAGAGTTTTTGAAGAATTGGAGTATGTGGAAAAACAAATCTAATCTTTTGCTGCAACTGACAATTATACTTCTTTAAATAATACAGAAGTACCAAGCATACGAGGTCAGGAATTCTATAACCAATTGAAGATTGTGAAGACCCGATCAGTCAGATATTCAAAATCATGGCACTTATCTATGCAACCGCACTAGCAAAATATTTATTCATATGGACATAATGGAATACAGAGAACATTTATCACACCGTTTCATTGGCGATATTAGACTAAAATTAGCAAATACAGTTGATAAAATTATAGATTAAATATTCATGGTGGTCAGAAAATGCAAATATGACTTGAGCTTTAACTGGTTAATTGGCCAACACGTGTATTTTCCTGTGTGCTGATGAGGCAATGTTCGAGTGATTCTCGCAATGCTTACTGATTTGCACCCAATATTTACACTCAAATGGACTCCATTCCGTCACATGCTATGATTCTGAGCACTAAGACTGTGCCATGAGTTTTGACAATGTCTCGCCCATACCTTCTTGAGAAGACTGCATCGATACATATATCTAATGCACAAACACCACGATGGCAATGTTCAGTATAGAGGTTACTGTATGAATGGTTGACTGTGATAGGTACAGGTACAATACATTGGTCTTGTATTCTGATGACCAAAGACGGGTTGCTAAACATGGTGGTCATCAAAATCCTACCTATCCGAGAGATTATAGGGCAGCAAGACCTCTTTGCATTATACACATCTCTGGATAGCTGCAGACCAGATCACTTTTTACAATGGTCAACATGATTGGAGTATCATAAAGCATTTGAAATGTGTGGTCATGCTGAACATGTCGATAATGAAACTGAACAAAATATTCCAGCAATAAGATTTAGAGCATCGATTAGCACAGCCTGACCACCCTGTCACATTAAGTCTCTACAAAGCAATATCAATTGTTACAAGTAACAAAAACAGTATGAACTGGCAAAATACCAATGCCAATTGGGATTTTAGGGACATCTGCTTATAACCAAGGGCCAAATACTAGTATCAGTCTCTAAGTATGTCTAGTTGAATTCCTGTGCAGCAGATTCTGGAAGATACCCCCAACCCGAGGACCGATGGAATTAAGACTATCGTGCAAAGCTTCAAAAATGGTGCTGAGCTTCGACCATTGCCATCACAGTGCCATCAAAACTTGAGGAATTTAGACAATATTTAACCACCTCCACCAATAATCCTTTCCAAGTTTTCTTTCTACTATAAAGGCTTCAAATGTCATTTCCAAGACACTGTTTGGGAAAGAAAACTTAATAATATTGTCAAAATAGCCCTTGACTTATTTTTTTTAAGAATACTTTATGGTTTATCAGCACATTCTTCACTATTGTTTGTTATGTGTTGGGCATAGTTGGTGTGAAGCATGACAGTATTCTGTAATGCACAAGGACGTATTGTGACAAGCATAATAATATAATGTGCAACTTAAACTTTGAAATTAGTACCACACTTGCCACAGACTGAAATATTTAGTTCAAATTGACCACTTTGTTTTACAGTGCTTTAGCATATTTATATCAGTACTATGGTGCTCCCTTCACTGAAATACACAACATCACATAAGCTAGTAACATCTTCATGATATTTTGAGTAAAACAGACATTGATCCACTGAAGACTTGATATTTACTGTGATAACAATTTCTGATCCAAACTTGATAAGGCATTTCAAACCATGGTCTCAACATTCAAACATCCAGAATCAAACTTGGTCTATCCAAAGACCAAGGGTGGTTGGTACATTTAAGAGCATAGAAAACGTTTGAGCAAAGGTACACAATTTGAGCATAAAATCATGTTTTCTTATGTGTCGGTACAGATTAACCAGTTGATAATATCCATGATAATAGGATTGATATAATAAATACAAAAACCTACTGTCTTGGATAGTCAAGCAGTGATCTCAAGTGGTTACTTCCGCAATAACTTTTAAACATCATAACTTCTAGCTAGAGGTCTTAATAATCATCTGTGTGGGGTTACATTTCGTGTCTAAAATTTCAAGCAGGGATTACAACCAGATTTTTTGTCGAGCACTGTTTAATTCAGAAGCAGAATTCACAAGAAAAATCCCCATTAATATAGCAAAAGCAATACAAGAAACACAAACTAGGAAGGCTAAACAAGAAATTGCAAAATTGTGAGAGAACCTTCAGCTCAGGTTCTAATTTATGATCTGTCAAGTCTAAACTGGTAGGTTGAGTGCATAATGTTTTGGAGAACGAAAGCGCAAAAAACGATAATACATCCGTAAAAGCTTGGTTTTGAATATAACAAGATATCGGGGAAATAAAAGAATGCATTAACTAATATCTTGTGTAGTATTCTTAAGATGTAGAGCCTATCGTGGTTCGATGTTTTAGGAGTGTCCCCAACCGGAACTGCCGAGAAGGGACAGTTATAACTACATATATAGACACATGTCACATCGCTAACAAAGCAAATTCAATCTACCAAGAATAACGCGACAGAAAGAAAGACTTTATTGGAGATATGAAACACTAGAGGGAGGAGTACACGACATGCAATACCATCCTTGTATATCTGAGTCATAACAAAATGGCGTCTCTCAAGCCTCATAACCATGGTCACTGCACCAAACATGCATGTGTCGATTCAGTTATATTTACACTGGTTACTGATACAGGAATGCATGGCAAAATTATAGCGAAATATACATTATACATTTCCCATGTCTATCCACAACACATGACCTCAAATCAAACCATGCACAGGCCCTGAATCTTGGCCTTGAATGTATGTAGCATATATGCATCAACCATTACACAGGTCTACACATTATTCGTGAAATATATTTCATTCAGTAATACAAACCATCATATCTTTCGGCTTGTTCGGCTAGCTTAGCCTCATAAACATAATCTTCCCTTTCGGTGGACGATTCTGTGGCATTGGATGACATTTTAAAAGCGTTGATTACACAGGATTGACAGCAATAATATCCCTGTAGAACAAACAAAATGGCTGCGCCCGCCTATGCTGAAAATAGTTCTCGAGACCGGAGGTGAAAGTATTACTACGCGTTAGCGATGAAACTCATTCAAGCTATGTGATTAACTTGTGTATCCACCTGTCAAGTAAGCAAAACAGAGCTCAGATTTTCGAATGAACCGATCCTGGTCGCTTAAACGTCCAGTATGCACAGAACTAGGTTTATGACGTACTATTACAGATTTATTTTCGTAGAGGATATATTTTGGAGGCACGCTCGGACATGATTCTCCCAGGTGCGTGGTAGCAGCCCAGTCTGGGGTTACCAGTTGCCGGTTTACCTCACATTCCATGACAACGAACGGGAACAACCTTGGGTCCCACATATACTTAATACGCTATTATGTACCAGAACAGCACCATTACACAGCGTATCCTGTTTCTCATGTATTCATACAGACGTAGGATATTTAAGCATATATTAAGTGCCTATAATGCCTCGGCTTATGTAAGAGATGGAAACATTATCAACATTATTTTAAAATCTTGATGACATAAACGCTATTTAATATTTTGATTATATATGATATTAATTTTGCAGTATTGTTGATGAGACGCAGATTTACTACTTAAAACACGGTGAAAAAAAAACCCCAAAATACCTAGATTAGAATAGCTCATCAGCAAGTTATGTTGAGGCATCAAGAGGTTAGACATTTTTATGTTGTTTTTGTTGTTGTTGGTTGTTGTTTGTTTTTGTGTTGACGGATCCAGTAATTTAAAAGACCAAATCTGCGTCCATGGCAGTTATTTTTGTCCTGGCGGGTACATTTATATGCTTTATAAGAACTATCTATTTACTCTATAGTTAGTACAGATTCGCTGACTTGGTTGACGCATGTCATCGATGCTCATGCTGTTGATCACTGGATTGTTTGGTCCAGATTATTTTCCAACCGACGCTACATAGCTGGAACATGGCAGAGTGCGCTGTTAAACAAGATAAAAAAACAACAACAGCAACAACAACAAAAATCCACGTAGAGTGTGGGTCGGCTTCGGAATGAAAGACCGACTATTTTATATTTATTGCCGGGGGACATGAGAGACTGGCACCACACATTGCCTCAATTGGGATATGTTGCTGGAATATCGCTAAAAGCGCGCGCGTGCGTACGTGCGTGCGTGCGTGTGTGTTAGCCTAGTTGTTAATGCGTTCGCTCGTCACGCCGAAGACCCGGGTTCTATTTCCCACATGGGCACAATGTGTGAAGCCCATTTCTGGTGTCCCCCGCCGTGATATTGCTGGAATATTGCTAAAAGCGGCGTAAAACGTAACTCACTCACTCACTCTTCGCGTATAACCCATAGTTTGATAACGACTCCATCATAAACATCGTTTATGCACTAGTTTATGTCAGTGTATGCAGTTATACGTGCTTGAAGACAGCATCGTTGACGCCATACGAATCTTTTTGTGACGTAAGTTTGAAATGACGTCACACTAAAAAACGACGTCATTCGAAACGTCATGAACAACTTTTTTCTCGAAAGGGATCTCTTTGTCACACCGATTGTGTAAAAATGGGTGTATCACCATTGCTCTCATTTCAAACGCGCGTTTAATAAAATTAGTGCATGCACATTCTCGTGTTGTGTTCTTCTACACATACGTAGCTAGACTTCCTGTTTGGGCGTCTTGAGGTCGGTGTAGTCACGGCGTTCTACGTACGTTATCTATACATCCTGATACACCCGTCACGGGCAGCGTCGATAGGGCCTACCATCCCACTCACTGTCATACATATTTTAGATAATTCAATGGGTACATGCGATGTCTTCACTTGATGTGGCGGCAGTTATGGCCCGTTAGACTCAAGCAAGGTCGATAAACTGGCATGTCTGTCTGTCTGTCTGTCTATACATTCGCTCGCGACGCCAAACACCTGGTTTCGATTCCCCACATGGGCGCAGTGTGAAGCCAATTCCCGAATATTCCTGAAAACGGCATAAAAGCATACACGCTCACGCAGACTGATTCTATTTCCATGAAACAGGTTTCCCGAAGGAAAATTGCTGAATCGGCAAGTGGTGGTGTTATTAAGACAGGTAGGCTGCGTTGGTTCATGGGACGCCCCTGGTCTGCTAAGTGAGTAATGTTTTTTACCGCTTTTAGCAATATTCCAGCAATATCACGGCGGCCCTGATCTGATTAAATGTACATATATATAATTCAAGCAACAAATCACCTTAATGATCTAGATAAAAAGGTAGTGAGTGAGTGAGTTTATTTCTACCCCGCTTTTAGCAATATTCCAGCAATATCATGACGGGAGATACTAGAAATGGGCTTCACACATTTTACGGGGAAACGAACCCGGCCTTCGGCGTGACGAGCGACCGCTGTAACCATTAGGCCACCCACAGCCCCATCTGGTACGAACAATAAGGCCACTCAGTATATATCGCAAGGACAATAATATTATGTATCAGCTTATCCGAGAGTGAGCTCCGTTGTGTATACACCCGTCTATTCAAAAAAGGGGCGGTGGGGTAGCCTTGTGGTTCAAGCGGTCGCTCGTCACGCCGAAGATCCGAGTTCGATTCGATAAAACAAAATAATGATATCCGGAAATTATGTGATAAAAACAGTTTCATAGTAGGTGCAAATTGCAAGGTCTACTTCGACATTTCAAGTGAACACAGTGTTTGAGCCTGATGTTCAAACCCATGTGCACGTGACATCCGTGCCTCAAATTACTATATGGTGGGGTGGCCTAGTGGTTAACGAGATAGTTCGTCCCGACGAAGACTTGGGTCTGATTCCACACATGGGAACAATTTGTGAAGTCAGTTTCTGAGCTCCCTGCTGCGGTATTGTTGGATGGAATATTTCTAACAGCGTAAAAATATACTCACTCACAGAAAATAAAATGGTTGTTTGTTTGACGCTGCACCCAGCAATATTCCAGCTATATGGGGGTGGTCTGTAACCAGACAATCCAGTGATCAACAACATGAGCATCGAGCAATATAATAGATATATTACTGATCTATCTTCACAGAGGAACGTGTTCGAGCATCTAGTCGGTAACTTCCCGCCACAGCAACAACAAATACTAGCCCGTGAAGGTCCGGGTTAGAATTGATCTTCAGCAAATCATGTTGTCGTAAGAGGCGACTAACGGGATCGGGTGGTTAGGCTCGCTGATAGGGTTGATACATGTCATCGTTCCCTAATGGCGTAGATCGATGCCCATGCTGTTGATCACTGGATGGTCTGGTCCAGACTCGATTATTTACAGACTGCCGCTATATAGCTGGAATATTGCTGAGTGGGGCGTTAAACTACCAACCAACATATACTAAGCCAGTTTTGAGGGTTTTCAAGAACGTCACCTAGGAATATGCACTTTATACTGAAGATGTCCTGATTGATTAGCAAACAAAACGGTTCTGTTTTGGTGTTTTTAAACAGATCCAGTCGCTGTTATGTAATATGGCATTGTGTAGTATTATGGATAATAACTGATATGTTTTTTTACATACCAAAGGCTTCATGCCCCTAACATTCGTTAGAAACAAGATTGGGAAGTCACGCACGCATGCATTTGCTGAAGACCAGTTCTAACCCGGATGTTCACGGATCGTTATACAATAAAGAGGGAGTAGGTTGACATTACTGTTGTTATTGGACAGGTTATGTGAGAGCAATGTGTTCATGCAATACATTTACTGAATAGATACAAAAACTCAAATTCTATGTCCTGCTCTGAAGAGGGAAAATTCCCTGAGATCTTGACTCGTGGACATAGTGATAGCTTTCTCTAGTGTTGTGCATATTTGCACTTTACGTTGTCATACTTGTGAGCTGGCACATATATACTATTGACGTTTAAACATTAATAAAAAAAAGAATTTAATCAAACAAACAAAAAGAAACAAAGATCACCACCACCCACCCACACCCCACAAAAAGAACAACCCCCAACCAAAAACAACAACAAACCAAGAAACTCCAAACACCCCCAAAACAAACAACCCTCAAAACAAAACAACTTTAAAAACAAACCCCCAATATATACCCCAAAAACCCCCACCCAAAATAAAACAAAAAAACAACAACAACAACACAAACAAACAAAAAAAAAACAAAAAAACCCCAAAGTTCAGAAAAATATTACTGTAGAATGAGATAGAAAATTAATATAATAATCTTTCCTTAAACTTAATCTCGTAAACTCCGGGGGCCGGTTGGGTAGTCCAGTGGTTAAGGCGTTAGCTCGTCACGCCGAAGACCCGGGTTCGATTCCCCACATGGGTATAATGTGTGAAGTACATGTCTGTGTAAAATACAACTCATTGATATTGGCCACTAGAAGTTCTAGTTCAGACTCAATTATTTAGAAACAAGGTTTTCAGATAGCTTGACAGTCGCTGATTGCGGTTTGGAAGAACAGACTGACATATCAAATAAGTTATATGTTTATTATCAAGCAGAAATTGAAAGGAAATTGTTTGGAGCAGATATTTAATCTGGACACGCAGTGGCAGGATAGACAGACTAAAGACAAGCTGTGATATTGATGGAATATTGCTACTAAAAGTGGCGTAAACCCATACTCAGCCAGTCAATCGTAAACTCCAACAATGCCGATGAGTTTATGATGTGGGTCAACAATACGCATGTATTCATAATCACCTACAGCTCATCAGATAACACGTAACGCCCTTTTGCATATATCGAGTCCTGGTGATATCACCCTGCACACAAACCTACTCCGCGATAACAGATGTCAGTGCTCGTAAATATCGCGTTAGTCGTAAAACACCGTTGTACTTCGCTGACCCGGTTTCTCGAACTGGAAAAACGGGTGCTGATTGTCCCTCCCTGGTTATCTCCCTTGGTCCGCTACTGTTTGTTCACCACAGATTGTGTTTAATCGATTTTTGCCATCGACAGACGGGATCGTGTCGTTTCTACAACAGCAGTAGACGTACCGTCTACCGCTTCCGGTAGACAGTGCATCTACTTAAACTAGCTAAAACTGAAAGTTCGCGATGTCG